TATACTGTACATGGGGTATGGGGGTTCCGTTTTACTGACCAATTTTTATTACGGCAAGTACCCGCACTCGTGTCTCCCGACCGCAAATAGTAATTAGGTAGATAGTAGGTATGTTTCCTTGAGTTTGAACCCAGAACCTCAGGCCCTTACCGTATTGCAAAGCATCACGTTAAACCATCGGCCACAGAGTCGATTTCATACGTATAATATTTTTTTGTAAGGTTTCGTTCGTGTTATGATAGCAATGTATAGCTAATAATCGACATGTCGAGGGTTTGATCCAGCTGGTTCACCGTGTTTCTTTCTTTCTTTTTCTTCTTCATTACTGAAAAGTTGGCCGTTAGCTTTTGAAAGCGACTGGTGTCCTTTGCGAGATGTAACAATGCCTCAACCGCGTTTCTGACCAATTTTTTTTTATACATGGTGTATTTCGTCTGGAAATTTGGTTATTAAATTGGTGGTAGGAATATCGATATTTCGCCCGGGTCACACACCACGTCCACACATGAAAGGGCATCAAATTTAACACCTCCTCTATCATACAACAACAGTAATTTCTAAACGCGAGCCGCTCAATTAGTACTTACATCTACAATTCAATTAAATTCAGACGGATTTAAACAAACGCCCGAAACTAAACAAAACAATTTTCCCCGATCCCCACAAACAATACATTTAGTCAAATGCTACTTTCCGATTAATGAAATTTCCTCGTCGAAGCCGTGTCCCGGGAGACGAGCTGTCAAAGTGCTCCCAACTCGCACCGTCTGCGCGACAACTTTTAATAACCTGTATCAGCCAAATGGATTCGGGATCCAAGTAATGTTTTCAAACTGTGCTTTATATAATCAAGTTTTTGTTACGTCTATCCGGATAGATCGTGTTTCGCTTAAATATTATTAATCTATGAATCTGTATGGAGAGCAATAAAACCTTTTTTATTAAAAAATAAATACATTTGTTTTTAAAACTATGTAAATGTGCGCCCTCCACTATATTGTTCCTCTTATTAATAGGTACTTACAAGAATAAAAAGAAAAAAAATCAATAGATAATAAATGATATTTCTTAGTTATAGTTCAGAAATCGTTTATACCATTTTAATGTTTGTTTGCTAGTACTTAGAATTTGAAAAACTAAAAAAGTACCTATATATTTGGTAGTGGATGGGTTTTAGGCGATAAGTCTATGAGAGCAGCTATTATTTATGGATTAGGAGGTTTGCACAAATGAAATTTAGATGCTCAAAAAAATAATTAGGTAGCTAGTTCAACATATGTAGAATTTTTTAAATCCAACCAGTAGTTTAAAGAAACTCTTCAGCTTTAAATATTAGTAGATATAGATAGGTATATTTAAAAAAAACTTATTAAAAGGAATTCTATTAACGCTGATTTAATTAACACAGTATAGCTGTACTGTTAAATCTCGACGTGAGGGAGGATTTTTTACATACCTGCATTGTATATCAACAAATTGACGTGGGATCTAGGGTAGGTACTGCGCGGCAAAATTGAACGTCTCAGATCTGTCTACTGGTAATCCACGCTTATAATTGATGCGACAATGTCAAGTGGGATCCAGCCTGTTCCAGATTATCAGAAAAATACGATTCCAACACAATGATCGATTGGTGGAGGGCTTGTTTTAAATAGAGACTTTGTTTTCTACGTTGCTACCAAATGTTATTTGTTAAAGTAGATTCTTGTTATTTCTTGGTGAAATAATAGTTTAAAACAAATACATTTATGAATATATTATTAACAAAAGTAGTATTGTTGTTAAGCTTTAAATATGTAGACTTGGTCAAGAGTCTCCTAAAAATTCAAAATATATTATAGTTTAACACACGTATTTCCGTTGTTGATTATACAAAATAACACATTACTTTCGCATTTTAAACGGTTAAAAGACCTTTATTCATAGTGTTCTGCGTGCGTACACTGATGCAATACAATTTTTTATTTACAGAAACAATTTCATTGTAAAACAAAAGGTGAAATTAACCAAATATCCGACATACACTGCCGATTTCATAGCCCGAAAATTATGTGTGAGCTATAGATTTTTCACGTTTATGCTTTTCACACCTCATAACGTAATATTTCTTTGTGAAAGCTCCCTTACGAAACTTTTCTGTTGCAAGTAACATTCAAAATAAATGTTAGGTGCTTTATCAAAGCGAAGTCAGAATATGACATGAGACTTATGTTACCGGCAGACTCTATGTCGTAATTTATTGAATGCATTAATGTAACTACTATGTAGGAATGGTATGGCTTTTTTACTTACAACTCTACTTGTTCGTCTTGTCTTTAATATACTCTGTAGATCGAACAGTTCGATATTTGAATTTTTCTAATATCATTCTACCCTTATTTGGTAGAATATCTCTACCACATTTAGCCGCTGCTGTCATTGGCGGTAACCGTTACCTCATACTGAGGTAGCGTGGTAGGTAAGCTCTAATACCATTACTCCTAAGTTTTTGTCTGATGTTGAAAGATAAGCTATTGAAAGCACCAAGTGTGAATCAAGTTATGTCACCAAAACTTATTTAGCTTCATAGATTTGACATTGAGTGTATAAATAGTGGCTGTAGTTTACACGAGTAGTAAACATTAAAAAAAAAAAAAAACACTTTAACAGTCTCCCTGTGACCAAGGCTGCTGCAAAGCATCCGAAACTTCGGGCCGTGTTAAAATAGTTTTCAAAACTAATATGCAAGTTGAACATGCATCGCGTTTTAAACCGTTAAAGTGATTTACTTAATTAAGTATATATACCAATGGGATGGCGAGATAATATCACAAAACGTAATGTCTCATAGTTTCCGATAGTGCTGCGTATTAGTATTAGTTTTCGGATTATTGCGTATTAAATTGCTTTAAATGACCAAGATTTAGCATAATTTCCACTAAGTACGAAACAAGAGAAAATCAATTAGTTCGTAATTCCGGACCCTCACCATGTGTTTCTAAGCCCGACACAAATAATGCGACCACAGCATTTAGTCGGCTCTCGGCAGGGCATCGAACGTTCTAATGGCATCCAGCCGCCAACTGGCCACCACATTAATCCTTTCGGCTGTTGATTAATTATTCAAACTTGCCCCGGGGGCTTGTTCTCGCCAATTCGGCACATATTCTTTGCGAATTGTTTACGACTGAGTTATTAGTATGAGTTCGAGCGTATGGATCTTTAGTTTACGTTAGGTTAGTCCTCAATACAATGACGTCACGTTACTTTGAATCAATGTATTCAAAATTGGAAAACAGTAAAAATAAAAATAAAAATCTACTTAAACAAAACATAGGTGGGCGTAGTTTATAATTGTTTGATAGAAGAATGTCGATTTCTTTCGGGTTAGGAACCACAGACGTAAAAAGGTGTAAATTGGAAATTCACGTTAACGAACTATAGAGCTTTTTACCTTCAATTAAACGAGGTCCATTCTTCTATGTCATACTCGCCCACTAGAATCTAAAGTACTTTACGTCATAAAAAATCTGCGTGACAACGCAATCGAATGTAACAACAAACACAGTTGTATATATATTTCTACTTTTCAATATTGATATTAATATTTTTCACATGCACATGTTGGCACTGCATAAATTAAAAATCGATTATAAAATTTAAAATAGCAACTCCATGGAACCTCTGTAGATGCCGCTTCAAATCCTGCCCGTGTCGTAGATTTTTTTAGTTTATAATCGATTTGAAATTCGCATACGCATTTCCAACGCCACCTAACTTTTCGGTGCAGGCAACAAAAGATCATAAATCCATATAACACGGGTACAACGATATAATCAAATTAAGTGCGAACACGACACCTCGAGATGCAAGTGACCCTTAATTCGCCGTAAATCTTTGATCCGGCTCCCGGCCGAGGGTCAGACATGCCAACGATACTCCAGCACCATTTATTACCCACTTGTTCTACATGACAACGAGCTATTTACGGGACATTTGTATCAGGTTAATTTTGCGGTTATTGCATTATTACCATTGTTCTTGTAATTTTAATGTCAAAAGACGTGTCTACCTTATATTATATAGCAATTATTATTACTGTAAATATTAAAGTTAATAATAAGTACTCGAAAATGATTTAGAAAAAGACTTGTCAAAATTACTTCCAATAGCTAACCAATATCTGTATAAAAATACACAAATTTTTCTATCAGATACAAAAATAATAAATTTAATCATATTATAAAACCAAGAATTAATAAAAACATTATTAAAGAACTAAATTAAAGTATTAAAATAGTGAAAAAACACTTTTTTATATTGAATAATGGAGTGTTTTGAACATTGGTAACATCGCGTCGAAAAAAAGTATCGGTATCCTTAAATCTATGAAGTTCAGTGACATGGAAGCGGGGACAACCCCATAATGCTCACATTATGCGCACCTCTCCATCTCGCATAATACCATCCATTATTAGCAAAAACTTCCCGTTTGCCAGGCTTCTCTTGCACTTCTTCAAATGGGGACAGTCGCGTTCATAGTCTTATTACCAAATTACTCCGTTTTAAATGCTAAAGACTTAGACAAAATAGTAACAGTCCACATTGAAATGTAGATAATATTTTTAAAACATAAAGGAAAGTTATAATTAATTTTATTCAAGATAGTCAAGTATTTTCTTTAATACTTATAAAATCTCTCTAATTAAACAAGCATATTTGTGACTTAGCTTAGACATTTAAACATAATTAGAAAGGACAGCTTTTCTAAAATAATGTTTTACATTATATGTACTTACTTGTATATGTATTTATATATTATTATCGTAACAGTTAATACCTTTTGCACAGAACTCTACCAACCCAAGGTATGAATTATGATAAATACATTCCAGTAGCTGACCAAGGACTATCGGGTTTCAAGCCCAGTTAACTGATAAATTAAGTTCTGCGAGTTTCAACCTACCTTTACTACGCAATTTACTTACCCAAATATTTAAATAGATAAGATACAGAACAAAATGGTTGAATATCTCACTATTCTAGAGGAATATATTGTAAGTAAATACATAAGGAGGGCTTAAGGATATCATGCGGAACCAAAAACGGTGTTACCGTTTGATTGACAGCTGCCCCTGCCCAATAGAAAATGCGCGTCGACGAAACGTCAATCAAACTCCACCAAAAGACAAAGTTGTACACAAAACTAGCACAGACTATAATAACTCCTAATTCTTCGCCGCTAAGAACGATCGTCGAAATTATAACGCGAATACACACGCGCCCTGCGGAATTGTCACGCGAACGCGATCGCCCCATTATTCGCCGCCCTTTGTAATTTGAATTTCGAATTCCAATTCGTATTTGTGGTAAAAAGAACAGTTTCGACACAATGGCGTCAAGGGCGGTGCTCTGACATGCGATCAAGTTATTACATTAAAGGAACCCACGACAGGCCGCTTACGACTCTGCTCTTTCCCAAAAACACGATAATATGCTATACTATATGTTGCATACGCGCGTTATTTTTTTTACGGGACAATAATGCTCATAACTTCTCCCCACCGTAAAATGTTCATCAATTTTTTCTAGATAAAGAATTGAACATGACAAATGATTTGTTACAGAAAATGGACTGCCACGCAGACTGCGAACGGCGTATACGAACACACAATTACTAGAACTAGAAAAAGAATTTCACTTCAACAAATATTTATGTAGACCGAGAAGAATTGAAATCGCCGCTTCACTTGATCTAACAGAAAGACAGGTATATACTTAACAACCATCTTAAATTATGTTTGTCTTATCTATACCTATTATGAAAATATATAAGCATTATATAGTAAGCTATAATATCGATTTGTTTCAGGTCAAGGTATGGTTTCAAAACAGACGTATGAAGCATAAAAGGCAAACCTTAAGCAAAAGTGAAGATGGCGACGACAAAGATTCAACAACATCAGAAGGCGGTAAAAGCAAGACCGGCATGGAAAAATTTACGGATGACGACGGCCCTCTGTCCGGAAAGAAGAGCTGTCAAGGCTGTGAACTACCTCCAGGCGCTCTATTGTCGCCAACCGAAGATATCCCCGAGCTAACATCTCGCACCCGCAACAACAACACACCCAGTGCAACCAATAACAATAGCTTTGCCAGCGATGGTGCATCAAGTGTGGCATCTTCGTCGTCTCTCGACAAACTAGCCGAAGAAGATTCCAGAGATTCCCATCCACCTAACGTTTCAGCGGTACCGCGAAATTTAGCTAAAAGGATAAAACAAGAGTCTAGAAAGCGCTCGCCCTCTCTAGACGCCACCGGATGTAAAGTATCGCCCTCGTCCTCTAAAGATGGTCTCATCGGCATACCAGGCCTGACGGACGGTGGTAAATTCTCCTCTGTGAACTTAACACCGTCATCGACACCTGGAACGCCATCAAGCATGCATCAAAGTCCTCTTGGACACTATCCACGACCGTCGCCGCCGAGCGTTCCACCCGGCCCGCCCCATCAAACTGTACCGAACGCTATTCCCCCTTATGTAATCAGAGGCAACGCTCCACCTGGACAGTTTGTACCACATCCAGATTTTCGAATGGATAGCAAGCAGTTCGTAGGTAAATTAGCACAATATCCCCAAGGTAGCAGATCGTACGATGGCTACGCGACTGGATTACAAGGAGATCAACACAACTACACCCGCACCCATCAGAACGTTAGGCCGGAAGGTTCGCCGTCATCCAGGACGACAAATGGGATATCGGCGAGGCAGACTTACCCGCATGAAATGTATCAAAATTATGGATACTCGGGTTACGGTAAGGACCAAGCTGGTTATGGTCACCCGGCTTACGACCAGACGCAAGCGTATTCTAATGAGCATATGGCCTACGCTAATAGCCACTACGGCTATCATTACAATGAAGGCGGTTCCAATGAGCACGCTCACAATTATTACGCAGGCGATGGACAAAAGGCAGCGCACACTAATGAGTACAGTAAAGGTTCATTCTACGAAGCTTCGTACAACAGTCAAAACAGTGCGACCGCCGGGACATATCCCGGGGTTCAGGCGAGTGCTGAGCCGTACACTGGTACCAACGAATGCAACGAGAACTACAGCTCTTTTCAACAATTCTACGAAGCGTCGCACACTGCGCCACCGGCTGGCGACAACTCCAACTCCTCTTCTGATTTCCACTTCCTCAGCAACCTTGCTAATGATTTCGCACCCGAATACTACACCATTTGAGATAAGGATTTCGCCGAACAGGCGAACAATTTATTCGTGTAACACCATCGGCCGGTATGACATGTATATGAGACTTAAAATCATTCCGGCGTTACGTGACGTTACAGTAACAGCTGGGACATTCGAATGTAATATAATGTTATCGTTCATCTCTTTTTAATATGATTTATATAAAATATTCGATCGCCGTATCTATTAAGTATCATGTACGAAATTGTAAATACTTACACATATTTACTTCTAGTTTTAAAATATTGTTATAGTAACTTAATTTTCATCACAATACTACAGGTTAACGAGTTATTTATATTATTCGAATATAATTCATTAAATAGCTATATGATCTCAAAAACTACTCAGTAAATTAAATTAATGATATTAACCACAGACTCTTATCGTTGTCAATAAAAAATCATTAACTTCGAGTTCTTGGATGCTTTTGGAAACGAAAATATTTTTGTTTTCCCTACATTTTCTACATAATTCAGTGTTCTATAGAAAAGGACGTGTCTTAATTTTCTTAATATTTTCCGAGAAAACTTCAAAATAAATAATTACACAGATGATAATTAAAGCACAATATTGATATTGAAAGCGCTCCCGTGTTCATGATTCAAATCTTAACGTAAAATATAATTTTCGACACTAAGTTATTGTATACTAAGGAATAGTCGTTGCCTTATTTAGTTTGTATTATTTCGTGACTCTAAGACATTGTAGATATATTGTTAGCAACATAGTTAAAGTGTATGTAGATAACAGTGCTATCATTTTGGCCTATTGAAAAATAAATAATTTGGTGTCGCATGTTGTTCATTTATTCCTACACTGTAGGCTTGGCAGTAAATGGCTTACTACTACTATACTATGTAACAATTAATAATGAAAACAAGTTATAACTTTCGTTAATATTTATTAATAAGCACAAATAGTTATATATGTATACAGATAGGTCATACACGAGATTGGTATGGTATCAAGGCTGATATAAATGCAGACCTGTTTTTACTTTTGAAATAATAGAGTAAGCAATACCAATAATTTAACCTTTAGACTGTTTTAAATCAAAAGGCTACTAATATAAACAGATATTACTAGCCTTTTGAGTCTAGGAAACGCATTGAAGCAAGTAACAAATACCAAGAGTTTAATTTTAGATAATGCCCTTAAGTCTTAAGTTAATAAAATGTGCCAACAATGTATTTCAGCATGAATACGGTACTGCATTTAAATTAGCCTTTTAAAGACGTTAAGCGAAAACATGCAAATTTTCTTTAAAAACATTATCAAATTGAATCTTAATAACATAATATTTGATACCTAATTATAAATAATTAATTTGTTCATTCACTTACATTACATGTGCCAATGAAAGTTTATAAAAAATAATGAAATGTTAATTTTTGAGAAAGGTACAAGTTTGATCTCTATATTGAAGAGCTAGTAAGTTTTCAAGAATAGCTTTAGACTTGTCTTTCAGAAATAACTTCCTTCCTTTAGATGCCCTACATAGACAAAATTGTATACATGTGTAACTGTTAGGATGCAGAATACAAATCAAGAATCTATATAGGTATATATATAGGTCCTCAGGTTTACATGTTAAAACACCTAATCAAATTATTGCTTCTAATATCTCCCTACATTGGTTTTGTTCACTAAATAAGAAAAAATTGTACGTGAAGACATTTTAGATATATAAATGTGAATGCAACCCTTAACTTTTTCTAAAGTTAGCTATACTAACTCTTCATTAAAAAATAAGCCGCAGTAAACATGGTTGTTATAGTTGTAATATTCTAAACATTATAGTACTTTCCTGTAAGATTATAACATTGATCAGTGACAAGATGCGGTAAGTAAGTTGAATCAATTTCTGTGAAATCTCTTGCAATGATAAACTCTCTATAACACCAGCGTAAAATTAATTTGATGAACTAAATATAGAGATAGAATAGTTTAGTTGCTTGAGTCTCATTACAAAGAGTTCACAAAGTTAATTGAATACTTCTAATGGGTTGTCTACATAAATAGATATAAAAAAAATATAAGAATGGTTGTCTACATAATAATAGATGCATAGAAATAGAATCACAATAGCACAAATTACCATGAAACCACTGCCAACAATTAAAATGTGATATCAATTGAAAACTAACAAGTCTCCCCCAGGGCACTAAATTGTTACTAATACAAAAAAATCACTTCATTTCTTCACAAGCTTCTTCTTCAAATCACCAAATTCTGATATTTTTTTATAGCCAACTGAAGTTATATTAAAACATACATTTTGTTAGGTAAATCTGATATATTCCCTACAGTGAAAATACTATATTTGAGTCAACAATCAAATTAATTGAAAGCCTACTTGCTAAACACTAAGGTTATGATGATGTTGAAGCTTTCTGTGCTTGTGCTTGTGCCTGTAGTTTCATTTCTATCATCATGCAGATTGCTTCTCGCACCTTGGTCTTTTCAATACCCAACACTTGAATCTTTTCCATTTGTTCGGTGACAAACTTTACTTTTCTTTTGAAGTAATCCTTAGCTCCTTCAATATCCTGTAATAATGATCAAAGTACAGATTAAACAGTAAATAATAGTGGTTTATATGTCGCTTTTTAATTAAGACTAAATTAGTACAGAGAAGCAATTTCTTTTATAAATAAAAGTTAGATAAAAAAAAAGACAAACACATGTGAAGTGCCTTACTTAGGTAATCATTTGCCAAATGCAGAACTTATGGTAATCGATGCCAAATGCAGGACTAGGTTTTAGTAATTCAGCAAAAATAATTTTAGTAACAGTGGTAAGATTAACTTCTTACTTTTTGAGCATAGTAACCAGTTCCTACGTCAATTATAACATTATCTGTATCTGCTATAGTTCCAGGCACATACATGGAGCCAGTAAGAGGAACCATAATGCTTCTTCCTTTTGTTTCAGGCTTAATTTTTTCGACGCTTTCCCCAGATTCAACAAATTTACGCTGAGCTATTTTTAGTGTTTGAAGAGAGTCTTGGAACACATTGAGCTCCTGAAATTACGAATGCAAGGGAGTTAAGGGCAAAAATTATATATTTAATTTTCTTTAAGATTTCAAAAAATAATTAGAGGCGTGAAAAAATGTTTGTCTGTCTGTCTGTCGTGATTCTACTGAGTGTTCCAAAGAGCAACATGACCGAGAAGAACACCCAAGAAACTCAGTCCGGCTTTTTTAAACATGTCATATAAAGTAATACATTTTTCTGAATTCATTAACCTGAGGAGAAATTCATATACATGAATTTTATATGTAATATTGTGTAAAATTCGGGAAATAACTAACTTGATCTAATTGTTGTTTCAGCTGAGCCAACTGGTTCAAATTTAGCTTTGATAAATCGATCTGATGCATCCCCGGTGCCGGCGCTGTAGATACAGTGGCCATTTTTATGTAATATATCTCGTCGTAAAATTTAAATGTAATGTTCTCAGTTTTCTCAATATCAATTCATATTTTTAGATTTCTAACCTCAAAAAATACCGAATAAATAGCAGAACAATTAATCTATAGACTATATATCTTCCAAAGAGTATAAACAAAAGTATAGACCAAGATAATATTATACGCATTCATTCCAGTACTATAACATTATCTGTGGTTAATTTAAATATTATGCGATATGACTTTGAATATGACATAATGACATTTGTCTGTGAATTATCGTTAAAGTGAATTTCACGCAAATTTTTTTCTTGTCATATAAATAATTTTATCAGCATAATTTAACACAACATTTATATTGTGCCGTGCCTTCTATAAGAAAACACCTTAATATATTACGAGCAAGAAAAAAATCTACATTTAAATAAAATAACCTGAAAATGTCACTCATAACTATTGATACAGTCGACAAATTCAATTCTTTGATAAGGTTTGTAAGCATTATAAATAATAGATTGAGTATTATATATAATCATATCAACACAATACATTTTTAATTTTAGGTCACCCAATTTAAGTGTAATTCACTTTTCTGCTGAATGGGCAGAGCAATGTAAGCAAGTAACGGAAGTTCTACAGGAGTTGTTGAAACTGCCAGAGGTACAATCATGTAACAGCCAAATTGGTGTATGCGACGCGGAAAGTCTTTCTGAAGTGTCGTTAAAATACAAGGTAAAGTTACATTGAGGTTAACATAGGTAAACTGTACATATAATATGTAAGACTCTGTCATGAAAAATCTTATCTTTTAATAACATATTTTTATCACTGATATGTTTTAGAAACATAGATATATTGATCTAAATAACTTTGATTGCAACCCATCACAATCTATAATTTTTTAAAGGTCTCTTCACTTACAATGTTAATAGGCTAGTATATTTTTTCAGGTGGATTCAGTACCTACAGTCATATTATTTAAAAACAGTCAACAAATTGATAGAGTAGATGGTGTAGATGTAGCACAGATTTCATCTAAAGTTAAAGCTCACAGTACAGGAAAAGCTATAAGTGATGTGACATCAAAGCCCCCCTTGGAAGAGAGACTTAAAGCTCTTATCAATAAGCACAATGTTATGATCTTTATGAAAGGGACAAGAGATACACCCAGATGTGGATTTAGCAAAACACTTATTTCAATTTTGAATGGAGTTGGGTATGACCTTTATACTTTTCTTAGTATTAAAAAATTGCATCATTGAAGTAAATATATTCATAAATCAAAATGGTCCTCCAAATGATATCTCTTAAAATTCTTATAAATAAAAAAGGTTAATTTGAAATTTTGATAAATATTTTATAGTCATATAGACTAGGAAGCTTAATGATAATGATTTATGAATAATGTTCAATTCTATTTATTAGTGATATTTTAATTTAACCTAATTATTGGGTTGTTTTGGATGTGGACACAATAATTTTATATTAAGAATAAACAAGTTTTGGTCCGATTGTAATTATCTCAGTCCCATTAATATTTAAATTTAAATCCGCTATCAACTTGATTTTGGCATTGAACAAATTCTATACAAAATATATATTACATTAAGAAATACATCTTCCTTTTAATGATAACCTAGGGTCTCATCATAAACAACACTAATAAAGATTCCATTACAGTAATATTATTATTGCAAATAAGTGATATTAGAGTATAAGAATAAGTTGCTAAAAGGATATACTAAATAACTACTTAGAGAACTACTACTCTACAAGTCTAACATAAACTAATAGAGTGCAATAAGGGGAAAAATTTAAAGAGAATGTAATTCCTTTTTTCTACTAAATGTTATTATCTTATTCTGATACAGTATACATTAGTGGTTCAATAGTAGTTTTAAAAATAATGGAAATAAGAGTGAAGTGTATCACTAGTAAGTTATACATTTATATAGTAATTACAAATATTTTATTATTATATCACTTTCTTCTCTTTAGGGTTCAATATGAAACATTTGATATTTTAATGGATGAGGAAGTTCGCCAAGGGCTAAAGGTTTACTCCGATTGGCCAACCTATCCACAAGTGTATGTAAAAGGAGAGCTGATTGGCGGATTAGACATAATTAAGGAGCTCCAAGGAAACGGGGAGCTGGAGTCTACACTGAAAGCTTGAATGTAATTGTTTTGGGGTTTAGTTATTATTTATTTAATACATTTTTAAGAAACAATTGTCTGTGATTCATTTTATACTATCCATTGAAACTCCTTAAGTTTCTTTAAACAAGACTTAAATTAGGAATTGATTATTAGAAGTAAAGATTATTTTCAATATTCAATGAATATATTATTGTGAAAACTTCTTAGATTTTGGAATAACAATTCATTTTGTACGACATTCGTAAGGTCGTGCCACAAATTACTTTTATTTAGGGTGCATCACCTTAATTTGATATTACTAGTGTGCATAGAGCATAATACAAAATTTTTAAAACTTAATTTGATGTTACTTTCCAATATTTTTAAGTTTGCCGCGCGTAGGGTTTTATACTTTATCTGTCGATGTCTGTCTATTAGTCAATTGTCAATGACACCTGTTAACACATTCTTGCTTCCGTCACTTTCTGTATTGTATACTTTCATACAATGTTTAGAAAACTTTCATTTACTACTACCATATCAATTGTAATTCCACTTTTTTTGAATTTTTGCTAACCCCTTCTGTTTATTTAGTGATTACTATACATAGACATAGTATAACGCCAATCATGGATAATATTATAAACGATAGTAAGTACTACAATACAAGTAATAAGTTTATTTTAAGTGGCACTACTTAGGTGATTATCAATTAATTATTTATCTATCAAATTTTACAGTTATTATGGGTAAAGCCCGTACTGCCGGAGATGGTATGGAGTCGGAAGAAAAAGTGTCAGAGACTGTAATGAATAAGGTAATTTCCACTGCGCCCAAGAGAAAAGATTCATTGCTAAGAGGTCGTCTGATTCAAGTCCATGCTACAAAAACAGTTAAAACTGAAAAGAAAAATCCTCATATATACTCGAAAACAACTAAATTTGTTCCTTACGAACCCTATCCAGCCGCTGTTAAACCAATCAACCCAAAGACTGTATTAAAAAGTGCTAAAAAGTCTAAAAATCATATGGACCTCAATACTCTTGTGACTCAAATGTCACAAATGAATACTAACCTAAATGAGTTCAAGCCTAGAGTAAAACACACATCTGGCAGTGATAAAGCAGCAGAGGAATGCAGGCCAACTTATACTGATGAAATGCAAAAAAAGATTGATGATTTGACTAAGGATAATGACAGTTTGAATGAACAATTAAAGCAACAAGTGCAGGTATATATTTAAAAGAAAAAATACATTTTACTGTATTTTTTCTTTTTTTGACAATGTAATGTAATTTTTTTTGTCACAGAATAGCTTTACTAATAAAAGAAAAATCTTTTTTCTTTTATTAGTAAAAAAATTTTCTCCCAAAAAAAAAAAAAAAAATTTTTTTTTATTATTGGAGATATCTTCTTACATTTATTAAAAGGGTTTAATTTTAGGTTAACAAGGAATTAAAAACTATGCTTGTTGCGTCTATGGGTGAAGATCTGGAGACTCAGGTGCAATCATTAACTGAAGATAAGAAACATTTAGCTGATGCATTACTAAATTCTGCTCAGCACCTGTCTACACATCAGGTAATTCATCTCATTCAATATAGCAAGATTAGATCCTGTATAGCAGTTTCATGTTTGTTACACTTTTGCTCTGAATTTGATGAATGCAGTTTGATGTATCTTTAAACGAATATAACTTCTTTTTTATTAAATTTCAGGAGCAAACCGAATGGCTTGCTGGTCAATGTGAAGTATGGAGAAGCAAATTTCTGGCAAGCAGGTATTTATTAGAACTCAATTTGTTTAATTTCAATGTCTCATTGCTTTTTTATTTTCAACCTATGTTATTATTATAATTTCATTTTTGCAGCTTACTTATTGAAGAACTAGCCGACTGCAAAAAACTACTAACAGAAAAGACTGTGAACTTACAGCAAGCGATTACGCAATTACTGGACGAACGCTGCAGAGTTAGAGACATGATGTTATGTACATACAAAAATCTATACAGCCTACATGAGAGATGGCTTGAAAATGTCGCGGTTTCTGAATACAGCAGCAAGCTTTGTAACCGGCCGATTGGAAATCTCAACTTCAGTGCAACATTGCCACATTCAACTAATGTTCTGGACGTTGCCTCTGTTAATATGAAGTTGTCGGAAAATATAAGCAGTGAGGTGCAGAAACAAAATATAGCACATTTGGACAATTTGGCAACTGTTACCGATGGAGAGAGGTTTGCAGAAGAGGTAAGATCATTAATAATATTGTGTTATAAACTCTAGGAGAGCAAAATGCTACACCTGAGCAATATAGAGATTTTTATTTTTCACTATTCAGTCTCATTAAATCATAATATTATCTTTTAGAAACAATGTACTGATTATAATTTTGTGATATAAGTATGATATGAAATCAAATTAGGAAGGGAATTTACCAGTAGCATATTATCTTAAAATATAATTACAACAGAGTAAAATATTTCTTACCTTAAGTCTAATCTTGACAGAGTAAGAAAAATAAAATTTTATTTTACGTCATATATATGTATACGTAACGTTTGTACGTTTACTGGTCGCAGTGCCTAAAAGTTAAGGAGTGCCAATCAGGAGTTGCTTTATGTCTTTCATAATTATTTTATATATTACTGAAACTCTGTTTCAGTTCAAGTCAATATTCAAGTTATATCTAGATATATGAGGCCGCTAGACAGTGTTGCCTTACTGATTTTAAGACTTGAGTTATTTAAATTTTCAATGCCCAAAAATGTTAATCTACAAGAGCAAAGTCTCTGTAAATTGTTAACATGATTTTCATAGAAATAATAGCTGTTCCGCCTTAGTTGCACATTTTTATTTTCCTACTTGTTGAAAATCATGTATTTTGCTATTAGGCCACTCTGCCCCTAGCAGCCTCATAGCTTATACTAAGTTAGTGAATTGTTTTACCAACATGTTACACAAAATATTACTGTTCTCTTAAGATTTAGTAAAAGTACTTATTTGGTTACAATTTTTGCGTTTACGTAGCTTGTAGAAATAAATAAATGATTTTTTTATGTTCAAGGCTATGGCGATGCCTGTAGATGTGAGAAGACTAAACGAGGAACCAGTGAATGCCCTGGTGCAACATGCGTACTCGAACAGTGGACACATAGCACCGCCAGTAGCTTCGTGCGTCCATTGCAATGGGAAAGTGCAATTACTGTAAATATTTTTGCTTAATAACTTGTATATACAGGGCAATAACATATATTTCTTAGGGAGAAGATAATTTTGTTATCTGTATTTTTATTGGTTGTGCAGATATGGTAGTTTCTGTCCATTATGTAATTATTTTCATTACTAGCTCTATAAACAAGGATGGCCGATGTATATGTACACATATACATTTATGAGAAAATGTAAATACTGTCTCCATATTATTATTATATTACATTTATATGCCTTATTAGCGTTTATCTGGCTTAAGCCATAAAATAAGCCGTGTTTAGCTAGTTCCATGTGCAACAGGGTTGTCGGTAGTTCCATCCCCATCTGTGCAGCAAAAATTATTACATTTGTGCATGGTCTCTAGGGAAGAAAAACATTCATAAATATTCACCTAAAAGAGATCGACAATGCCCCCTGTTTAAATGTTACATACCTGAGGTATTATAATCATACCTTCTTCCACTATCATAGTGAAACACAATCTAAGTATCCTATACCTATGACTCAGACAATTTTAATGTATGCATCAATTGTTATTTCACCTGCATACTTAACCTTTTTCAAGCTTGTAGATAGTGAAATTTTTAATTCCTAAGTAGGTATGTAATAAGCAATAAAAATGCTCAATTATTTATTTAATGTATGTGTGATTTTTTTAAACGCACAATTATACCTGTACCCCTGATAAGTAACTAAAAATTAAGTTCTTATTAATTTATTGGTTGTTTTATAAACATTTTAAATGTTGCTTTAAAATAGATGTCTAATTATGGTAGTACTATGTAACTATTCCTATAAACAATATCTTTTCTAGGTTGTATGCTTTATAATATGCTGAATACAATATTAGCTTAAATACAACAGTTGTTTAAAAATATGATTTGCAAATAAAAAGCCATATAAAACTGTAACTATATTTCGTAAAATAATTCTGAATGTACCAACAATATAATGTCATAAAATAGTGTGAAAATCTTGTTTGTAAATTCTGTAAATAAATGATTATATATAATTATATATTTTTCCCCTGGTAACATCGATTCCATCTCCTGTGCCCTTCGACTATGGGTTTATAAATTCAATTGAGTCTCTGACGATAATGCTCTATCATTTCTGTACCAGTGTAGTTGTATACCAGGTAATCCTTTACAGAGACGTACTTCGCTCCACCAAACCAATCCACCATGGCTATCTGGGCGATCTTCATCTTGCTAATGAACCAGTCGTGATCTGAAGTGAAGAAATTTCTCATTAGATTTTCGTTGCAAATATTAAGAAATTATTCAAATTGCCTATTGTTTGTAGTTTATGCCAGTGTTATGGGACTCATTAAATAAAGCATTAAAACAATGTATTTTTCACATGGTAACATTATATAAATAAATAAAAAATCTATGAGTGCTGCTGACAAAGTAGTTCAATTGGTTCGAGTAGCTCGGATCGCTATGCATGCCGGTTTAAGATCTGCTCGTGTCATCGATTTTTCTAGTCTAATTAGATTTTTAATTTAATAAATGACATATATTGCGCGTTTTAAACCGTTATAAATGTAAATTAAGTCTGTAGTTTACGCCAGAAGCAAAAAAAGTGAGAAGTAGTTAAAATAAATTTTCGAACAAGTTTAACTAATATGTTTCGCGTTTTAAAACCGTTAGTTTTATTTAGACATATTATAAGTATTTTATTTCAATGTCTAGGAGGTACTTGTCATAAACTACAGACACTATTTCTTTATTCAGCTAGTGTTCATATTGATAACCTAGGACCTAATGTGCTAAGGTTACTTCGTGTTACATAGTTGTATTAGAGAGATAACTTATTTCTATTAGACAACGTCAATACTTATGGCAAACAAGTAAGAAAAATAAATTGTGTTTAGGTAATACATTGTTATAAAAAGACTAACTGTGTCAGCGAACTTCGTCCGCATAGATAAATTATTTTTGGGAATCAAAATTTGTTTTTGCATGCAAAACTCCTAAGTGTTCAACTCTATCTTAATAAATTTAAGTAGTTGTCGTCCCATCGTACTTGCACGTCAATCTCAAAAGATAGACATATACTGTCCTGGACATTTTTTAGACCATTTAAAGGGGAATCATTTGTTACTACGCTCATATAAGTCATTCAGAATCAGTAGTTCCCAAGATTCCCGCGTTCAAACAAACAAACAATCTTCAGGTTTAAATATTAGTACAGATATTCGAAAGCAGGACCCGTCTCGCTGAATTCAATTGTTTAACCATTGAACTACGAAGATAGTTGCCAGCTATGCCACGTACGTAAGCAAATGTAAAAACCTGTCTGACGAACTTGAAAAATTGTTTAATCAATGTTCATGTCAAGAATCACGTCATTTTCGGCGCCTTGACCTCATCTTATCAGTGTGCACTTGTATTGTATCTAAAAACTTATTTATCTTTGCAAATAATTACAAGGTAATCGGTAAGCAAATATTGAAGTAAAATGCTAAATCCTGACAACATATTGAACCTCAATAATACTAATAGTTATTACGCTGACGTTTGTTTTTGTCAGTCATAATGACTCTGAATTTAATTGTTAAACATGATGCACAGTATTGCGCTAAGCTCGAGAGGTCCTAGGTTCGACGCTTGGGAAATAACAAATTGTCAACAAACAATCGGGAAACGTAAAACTACTTAGCTATAAAGAAAACAGTGAAACGAACACAGAAATGTGTTCGCATATATACAGTAGTAGAAAACGTAAAAATGTTCTTTTTTACAATTGCGACCTAGAAGAGTTTTAACAGTAAGTATGCTGCTCTGTATCTTTTTCAACAGCTTAGATGTATATATAATATTAGATCATACAAATGTAGTGAAATTATAGATAACATACAACCCACGCATTCTTGATATATTTATATAATAAATTCATGTAAACCATTTTGTTGTTATTTGAAAATATATTTTAAAATTTCAATAAGTTAAGCTTGACATAAAACGTATGTTCAATGTACCAAAAGCAAAAGCCCACAAGGCTAATGCGATCACTTTTGAAAAATGCAAAGATAAAAAATACGAAAACACAATACAAACCAGTCGGCCACTGCGCCATCGCCGGATGTCTCTCGAACAAAGCGGCCTTCGCGAATTCGAACTCGGGAGTTTCTTCTTTGACCTGTCGATTATAATATCGATCATTTAGTTGTAGATACACTTTTTAAATACTAGACACAACTAAGAAGATCTATTTCGTATCGATAATGCATCGTTTAATCTATTATAATGTCCCACAATTGGGCATAAGTCTGCAGAAGGACTGCATCTACTAGAACCATAGTCGCGTCGTCCGGCTAGGGGTCGACAAGGTTACGACTACCGCACTGGTCTTGTGGTGGGACCGGGACTAACCCCGAGAAACCGGGGAAAAGACACCTTCCTAACTACTACTCACTAATTTGATTAAAACACTTTTGACGGTTTAAAGCACACGCGAAACATATTATTAACTAATATGTGTGTAATACTCGCGTAACCTACAATACTTCCATCTTTCTTAAAATAATTCCAAATACCGAAACATTTCGACCGACCCAGGATTCCATACCATGACCTCGAGTGTACTGACCACTAGACCAAAGAGGCAGACACAAGTTATAATTAGTGTAAGTAGAAATATTTGGAACTTTTCGTTCTTGTTTAACAGGAAATTCGACATGGTTTTTTTTAAAGAAGAAGTCTCTTTGGTAATCAATCAATCATTTTTTTCTCAATTTAAGTGCTGTTAGTTGAGTTTGCTCGTGAGTATATTCTGTCTTGTGTCCCCGACCGAAACTAGTTAATATGTTTCCCCGGAATTCAAACTCTGACCGCCTATTCTTAATATATTCCGACTAGGTTGAGCCTACAAAGAGATTAATCTTAGCTGACAGAAAATAAGCAGAAGGAAAGCGTATGTAGTAAAAGTGATATGTGAAAATAGCCTCAACTAAACTCATATTTGCTTCAATGCGATAACCTTAAGATTTTAATACTATATTGCATCTTATAAAAACAGATTTTGGGGATTTCTTATCGCATAAAGAACGGATAAAAGAACTGCTTTACAAGCAGATAAGATATACGGGAATGAATTAGCGCATTGTGTATAGTTGTATACAAACAGATAAATATTCGAAGCACGATAAGCGAGACGTGAGCGCAGCCATGTTTTAATTATTTTTTTATCAAAATGATAAAATCGATGTGTTTGAATGATGAAATTTGAATTGGTATGATTTCCAGGAACTTCTTCTCCAAAAGTTCTTCGAAATCACAAACAGCTATTATGACCTCCGTTTTGTTGTAAATGTGTTGCTTTACAACATATGCGCAAATAGTCTAGGTTCGAATACGCAGAGCAACATGAATTATTTTTTATAGCTACCACCGGCTTGTCGTATATTTACACTACAAAGTCAAATAACTGACAACACATCGAAAAATTTGTTACCTTCAAATACCAAGTCTGTTCCACGATTGTATCTCGTTATATTATATTCAATTATTATTGTTATTATTATTGGGCACAGTACATACAATTTTATATTTATAAGTACTGTTAACCTAAGTCATCCTACGTGCAAAACACTGAATATTTATGAAGATATTAAAATGTTGCCACTAGCAACTAGATTTACTAAGGAAGTAGGCATCAAACATTCCAGTTTCAATAACTAATGCAATAGATCTAAGAATAAGGAAGTAGATAATTCATACATTCGAATGCTAACCGTTTTTTTTAACAACTAGATAAACGGGTAGAACTAGCTAGGGGTTATTGATTTTACTTTTATATAGGCTATTTGCCATAATTTGTTTTTTTTTCCCCGGGAACCCCCCCCCGGGGGGGGCTCCCCCCCCCCCCCCACCCCCCCCCCCCCCTGGGGGGGGGCCCAGGGGGGGGCGGGGCCCCCCTCGGGGCACCTTAGCCGCAAAGCCGGTTTTTTTTTGGGGCCCAAAAAAAAAAAAAAAAAGAAGAAAAAAAAAAAAAAAAAATTTTTTTTTTAAAGAGGACTCTAAAACTGTTCTGTTTTTTTTGGGAGTTATTTTTAATGGGTGGCGAACCGCTAAAACAGCAACGCTACTCCTTACCTTCTTCATTTTGCCGGAGAGCATAAGGCGAGTACAGCGCGGGTCTTCAGGGTCATACTTCTGATTTTCACAGAACCTCGTCTCCTCCAAAGACACTAATATCGTGGCACGAGTGTTTTTCTAAGAAAAAAAAAATGTTCAAAAGAGAATAGGTAATCGTAACTCTATTTATCACATGATTGTTTTATTCAATTAAAGAACTCTTTTACGCTAAAAACTTCCGACACACGAGTGAGATTCGAATCCACGACCAGAGCTTCTCGTGCTTTTGGACTACCAATAGAGCTTTAGTGCTTCAATTGAGGAAAGAAATGAAGCATTCCCAAATAAGTAATATAAATTAAACATTAAATGAACATCTTTAGGCACAGATAAGCATATTGGTTACATAATACAAATATTTACAAACCGATAAGTCGCGGGCAGTGAAGTCCAAGGGCGACATATAAAAGTAAGGCACACCGGTGGAGTTAGCAAGAGAACCATCAACAATTGACTTTACGTTGGAAAACGGGAATCCTTCAATAGCTGGCAGCACTGATATCGACGCTATAGATGCCCAGTCTGTGAAAAAATATTGTTTTTATTAGCTTTAATGAGCCAAGGCGCTGCCTTGTCTGGGTTAATTTTTTTCGACCATGTGTAATAAGAAATAGCTCTCTGGTCTTTTTGTTTGTGTCGTCTTCTGTCAATATGTACAGAGTCATCTCAAAAAGTCTTTGTCCGAAAGGTGGACAAAGCGCTTAACAATCCTGTTATCAGCAATTTATGTTTACACGGTTCTTGTTTTCTTATAAACATTTTTACAACATTTGAATCATGCTTTGATAAATATTTTGAACGATAACTTAGTACAAAATATGATTCACCGTTTGCTTTAAATAACAGGTAATAAAGTCATAACCACATGTTTTAACGAGTCTTTCAATATCTATTATATTCTTGATAGGATTTATTATGTACTGTGTCAGCGACTTCGCGAGAACCGTTATTTTGGGCATCCAAATTTGTTATTGCAAACCCCTTCATCTTTATGAACTTAAGCTGTTACCCATGACATCGTTCGCGTCCCTTTCCGTCGTTTTTGCAAGTGAATCTTATAAGATAGTCATGTTTTTAGATCATTTAAAGACAAAGCATTCGTTAATACATATTTTTGGTAATCATGAACCGTTTTTGCAACGTATGTCTAGGAAACCCATAACGATGCATAATTTTCACATTTTTTTCTGCTGTATTTTCGCTACCATTAGTCACAGAGCGATGTTTTATAGCCTATAGCCCTACTCGATAAATGCTCACGCCAAAACAGAAATAATTGTTCTATTCGAACCCGTAGTTCCTGAGATTAACGCGTTCAAACAAACAAACAAGCTCTTTAGCTTTATATTAGTATAGATAGATACGCGAGTAGTATCTACACAATTAAATAAAATCGGTTTGGTCCCCCGTGACCATGGCTGCTGCAAAGCATCCAAAACGTCGGACCGTAGTTAAAACGATTTATATTTTTAACGTGTTAAACGTTAGTGTTTTATAAAAGGTAGCATGTCCAAGTTTTAAATGTTAATCAAACATTACGTTTGACAAATCGATTTGTGCAATGCTACTATGACATAAGAAAACATTGTCTGAATTTTCCTTCCCCAATTTGGCAAAAAATAGACACTTTTCCGGGGATTTTGGTGGGAGTGACCCAAGTATTGGGATATCTATCTATCACTGAAAACATTTTTCACATACTGCAATTGTGAAGGACGTATCTTGCCATCGCCACTAGTTTATTGTGGTCTGGTGGTCCGGCTCTGTGGTGAGGCTTCTTCGTGGAGATCTCGTTTGACATCCATTCTCCATGATGGGGCCCGTGGTTTATTAACTTGCATTGGCCGTAGAAGCTCAGCAGGCTAACAGCGACGATAAATATCTTCCACATAGTCTCTTGAATAATAAATGAATAAAAAGAACGTATTTTCGCCTTAAAAACATCTTTAGCGGCGTTGTGCATTTTTTGAAATACGCGTTACACCGGTCTGGACCAAAGTAAACTTGTCGTTTATTCAATGAAAGACTAGTAGTAATACTGTCTATAGTTTACGCGAGTAGTACACATTTAAATAAAACACTTTAACGGTATAAAACGCGATATATATTAGTTAGTCTCCCCGTGACCACAGCTGCTGCAAAGCATCCGAAACGTCGGGCCGAAATTAAAAATCATTTTCAAATAAGTTAATAATATATTGCGTTTTAAACCATTAAAGTGTTTTATTTTGACATAGCCTTGTCTTAAAATATAAAAATATTTATTTATTTTCTAAGTGATCTATAAAGAGACAAGAGAGGTTTCTTTTTTTTAGGGTATAACAACACTAAGGACCACGATGCCGGATCAAGTCCGCCCGAGTCGAAATTTTTTTTCAATTTATTTTCGAGCTTTAAATTATATAGTGCCTTCATCTGCATAAACTAAAACAAGCAAACTAAGTTATTTTTTTATAATTGTTTAATCTTCTCTTTATCTAACAATACAACCGCCTTCGTATCCTCATTGCTCGGCCCTGGGTTCGAATTCTAAGACAACATAATATCATCCATAATAATTATGTAGTTTTAGTCGGGCACTGTATTCTGTTATACTTGCGAGTGCAGATACAGAAATGTGTTTGACCCACGCTCACTTGATGGTTCACTTGATGGTAGGAGATATATACCCCAGCCTATTGCATCTAAAACAAGATGCGCGGTCGACCCATTTCGACTTTGGATATTCGGAAATCCACAGACCGAATAACTTCGGGTTTTTTTCCCCCGGGGGGGGGGGTTCGGGACCCGGACCCCATTATTACGCACGGGACATCACGTTTTTTAACAATTCAATGTTCTAAATAAAAATGTGTCTCGGCCTACTCGATACGTATTACCTAATTTAACTTGTTAGTACCGAATTCTAAGTAATTGAGTGTTGCAAATAGCGTCCCCCTTTTGACAGAACGATTTTTTAATTCACAACAAATTAACGGTCTAGATTGTCAGAATTCACCCCAGATGTTGAGCAATAAATGCCTTGATTTTCATAGTTTAATTATAATTTTTATAAGTATATTTTATATAAGTTTATTTACAAAAATATTATGCTTATTATATACTTGCTTAACAAGATATTACTTATATTAACTTTAATTAGGTTAAAACAGGAATATTAACAATGCAAAAAATCTGATTGCATAAACAGTGTAGACACCTTATTGGAACGGCTTCTATCCGACCCGTTTTTCAACCAAGCTAACAAGTTTGGATAAGTGAAAATTTAGTCTCAATTATACACCTAGTCTTATCTTTATGATTTAAAACGATGAGCGGTACGAATACATTAGTTTTTATTTACCAGCGAAAATCATACCTCATGTTAATCTGTTCCTGTATATAATATCAAATTGAGCTAAGCCATTTTGCTGTACCGCGTACACAATTCTACAATGAAAAAATACAATTTATCAAGATGATACTTTTCTCATCTTGATAAATTAAGTATATATTTTCCAAGTCAATACATTTTTATGTTAAATCGTAAATTGATAGGTATAATGTCTCGGGTATATCTTTTTATTAATTCCAAAGATTTAATCTCCGAACACTAACGCGCTATCATCTCATTTGTATGACAAATATGTATAATGTTTGTATTGAATGATCGTTTATTTACCTTAATTCAAGTTTACTATTTTTAGCTTAGCTTAAATTTTCCTTATATTATCGAATGTTTTTATAAACAACGTTAACGTGCATATAATCGTTTCACTCGAAGAATTGGTTTCATGCCAACTTAAAATGCAACGAATTAAAACTTTATTATTAGTTATTTTTCTCAGCGTGAATAATCTTTTAACGTTAAGGGTAATATTATGTAAGTTTAATTATAAGCAATAAAATTATTATACCTATTGAAAATACAGGTTCACAATACTTACTTGTATTAATTAATTTTCAATGAAACAACGTACAACGCGATGATTATTCAGAATCGTGAACGCGCCAACTGCCTAATTACGACAGATATATTTCATTTAATGTGCAATGTGCACCCAGCTACACGTTGCGCACTTGACTAAAAATGGCACAGAGTGCTGTGTATGTATGATAATTTTACGAATGTCAATGTCAAGTTCATTAGCTGTGTAAATTAAACAATAGGCCACTCACGCTTAATTAAAAATAAATCATTCATATTATTCCCCTAAAGGTGCAATACGTTCCCGTGACCCATTAAGAATTTTGTAAATTATCATGTAATATCATTTCTTGTAATCATTCGTTACTTTTTGCTATTAAATGTTCAAAATTTTTTAATGTGTCACTTATAAATACTACATTTCAAATAAATTCTTGTGTTATAAGTATATTTTTATTTAAAGTGCTAAATAAAAACATTGATAGGGCATTATAAACTTTATTATTAAATAAAAAAAGGATAATAAAATGCATTTATTACATCCTATACAACGAGGTGAAAAATCTAGCGTTGTGTACTCTTTGCGATTTGTTCCTTTAGCATCAGAATACTGGACCTCTGTTCAGGCGGCAGCAAAGCAATTTGTTCGTCTGACAGCTGCAATACTTGCATTATCAAGGCAGCCTAAAATAAAAAAGTTAGTAATAAAGAGGTTGGAAGGATTTTTTTAATATTTAAATTAGATGACAAAAATGTGGGTCTTTTTTTTAATTTTGCTGTAATTAATGCTAGCTATATTCATCTTTGGACTATTTATAGAATTTTTTTTAATCCAATAATTTTGTTGTTTTTATTTTGCCCACTCATACCTTTTCCTGTTCTGAAGCCCCCGACGGAATGCCTTGAATGGTTCTAGCCTGAGCAGCACTCGGCATACCGGGAGGCATCTGCGAATCTAAAGCAAACAATATTATTTATGTGTGACAATTTATAATATACTTTTTTATAATTTATGATATAAAAAAGTTACATTACAGTGACATACATATATTTTACATATTTTTCAATGTAAAATAGTTTTTAAATATTTTTTTTTTAATGTAAGGTTGTGGAAGAACTTACTTTGCATTTTCGTCTGTGTCCTTGGATCGTTGGGTCTAACACGCGGGTCAGCAGAGAAGCCCTGCATGTTCGCTAGTCTCGGGTCACGCGGGAACATTCTATATGAGATTTTCTTTTTAATTCACATAATTTTAACTTAATAAATAACAAAATGTGGGTCAATAGTTCAAAGCTTCGACTAACATTTAGATTTTGGGGAAAATTTCTGTAGTGCAGAAATCTGGTCAAACCCCTTTAAAATTACTGTTAGTGAAACAAAAAAATGTGTTTTCGAGATACGAGAAATGATCATAAAGACCGTATAGAATAGGAAAGGCGCCTTTGGTGACAATTTGAAGAACCGAATTTAGAAAGATAGCGGTAAGATTTAGCAATATTATACGACAACTAAAAAATAACACATTTACTATGAAACACATGTGTACAGCATGCTTCATACTAGGAGATGCGAATGATAAAATTTGGTAGTTTGCAAGCCAAACGAAATAATGAAAATAAGGACATCTGTGGAACTTATGGCGATAAAATGACAAACAAAAAATAATTTTGCTTTGACTTTTTATTCATTACGTAAACATGTGGAGGGTGTAAAATTGTGGAACAAAATGAATATGTAATTTATTATTGAATCATTCTTAGTTTCTATCAAAATGAAGTAAAGCAGGGCACATATTTTTAAATGTAAATCCCAATCTTACCTCTCAATTGCACTATCCATAGCAGATCTTAAAAATAATTGAAGCGTTTTTATATAATCAACAAGTACTTGCTACTTAATATTTAAAATAATCATTAATTATAATAATACATTTCCTCACGTCACCTACACTTAAGGGAATGTATATCCCCAATTTAAATAAAACACCTTTACCGGTTTGAAACGGGATGTATATGATATCTTGTTTTTAACTGCATGCCTCCGCAGCAAATCGAGTCGAAATAATGTAACTAATATATTTTGTGTTTAAAACCGTGAAATGTGTAACAAGTCATTAGTAATTCTATACATATTATGTTATTTCAGTCCTATCACCAAAATTTTTCAAAAAGTTGTATTTCTAACCGTGAAGATATTTTAAGACACCAAAAAATACTCACTGATCTTGAGGTGGTTGCACAGGTGCTGGTGGCGGCACGGGTACTGGGTGTACCGGGGGCAAACTTCGCATATCCTGGTCCAACATGCTACGACCTCCACGCAGGTCTACATCCATACCGCTCATTGGTGGCATGCCCATAGGCGCGCGAGCTGAAAAATATAGTAGACATTTTATTTTTAGTAGAATTCATTATTATTTGCTACTGTTATGAATCACATAAATAACAATTGAGATACGGCAACAAGTTCATAATACGTTGTCTCTATCTCATCACCTACAAAGACAAATGACCCAAGGTCAGTGGTAGTTAATTTTTTTTAAGGCACGCTTTTGAAAGCATTTATTTATGATCAGGGGATCATTCATAAAGGAAGAGCGAGAATCGCGTTTTTTACCGTTACTACTCGCGTAGTACTACCAAGACAATACTTAAATTTAAAAATTGATATTATATACGACTTTTTTAACAACGAAATGTAAATCCTTTCCATGTTAGTGCGCGGTGTGGACATATTGTTATGTCTGCTTCACAGATCACTGTTTATTCATTATTTCGTGCCGAACTAAAAACCATATCATTAACCTCAAACTATAAATTTATATATGAATTAACAATATGAATTTTTAAATAAAACACTAACGTTTTAAACGCGATATATTATTAAAACTTATTTGAACTTGGGCCCGACGTTGCGGATGCTTTGCAGCATATCGCGTCTTAACCGTTAAAGTGTTTTATTTAAATGTGTACTACTTGCGTAAACTATAGACAGTATTTAATATTTATTTTACTAGAAATTAATAATAAAAAAATAAAAAGAAAATATATGTATAAATTTATTTGTGTTGTCAAAATCAGATACTTACGGACATATTGGTTTTGCTGTTGCATCGGGTTGCTTAGAAGCGGTGGTTGTTGAGCTGAAATTAGAATATTTTTCATTTATGTCTTGGCCATAGGATTTACAATTATATGGAATAAATAAAAGGTAGCATTACATTTAACTGGCATTGGTGGTGGCGGGTTGTAGCTTTGTGGTGGTTTGTCCCCAGGTTGCAATACCGGTGGGATAGGATTAGTTGGATGTAACATACTCTGAAAGAAGGAAAAAGTTGCCATATTTTCAATTAAATCTGTTAATGGAATAGATCTAAAACTTATTAACTTGAAAAATTTATTAGGTAATCCTAAAACTACCTAATCTCACCTGACTAAATAAAATTATTGTAATTATTATCGTAACTTATTTAATCAATCATATCATCAATATTTTTAAGAGTCAGGAATACAAAATAAGTCTATCCACTTGTAATATTTTAATATAATTTTGTTTGTAATATTTTAAAGAAACATAAAATGAAAGGTGAAGTACCCGAATTATGTACATAAAAAGTGGATTATAAATTGAAAAAATTACGGCTCAGGCAGGACATGAACCGGCCCTATGTGCCGTTGTTCACATATGATTGATACATGCACCTGTCGCGTAAAACACCAGTCTTATTTAAAATTCATGACTTTTCTGCTAGTACAGCAAGTCTAATTTTCATAATATATAAAAAAATTATACAAATAATGATGTAGGATATACAAAACTTGTTACACGCGGTAGAAGTGTAACTAACCTGGTGTTATATGCCTTGCATCCAACAAATTGGACAATAATTAGTATTAATACTAATAGTAACTAATATTGCTACTTGGGTTTTCGGCTATTTTAATTGAGAACTAGTCCTCAACCTTTTACCAGCAGAAGTAGAGTGACCAATTATTACCATATAAGGTGTCAAAGTGCGGTGTAAAATGATTGATTTTATTCATTTATCAAATGAATAAAACTTTTATTAGAGTTTTAATTTAATTTTATAAGTTACTTACTACAGCTGTAGCGGGGTCGACAATCCTCATGATGACCTGAGCCTGAAGTAAGGCATATGCTAGCTGCGGATTTTGGAGTAACATATTTCTTGCTTCAGTTGGATTGTTCTGTAATATGATAAGGTTCCTGTTTTACCAAGGTCTGTTTTATTAGGCTAATATGAAGAAGCAAACATGCTATCAAGCCATAGACTTGAAAAATAAATCTGTTCACATTTTCAGTGGAGTTTATATGCTTAAATGTAGACCTTATTAGAATTTTATTATAAACAGACCTTAATCAACCACAATTGAAAAATGCGTGTGAGAAGTTGACAGATATATTTCTGTAAGAATGAATCCAAAAGCAAATATATTTTACAATAATCTAAATCAAAACAATATTTCTGGAAACAAACTCCAAAACTTCACTAATGTGAGTCAGCCGACCTACCTACCTACCAACTACAATAGATTTTTTAAGAGAATGAAAATGTTTCTCACTTGAATGCACAGTTTCATTTGTTTCATAAGTTCAAACATCTGTTCTGGAGGCAGAGTTGCGACAGCCTTGCTAACAGCTTCTGGAGCTTTATCTGGGTCACATGACTCACCATACGGATTCTCAATCTGTAGTATAATGTTTTAGTGATAAAACTACAACATAATACAGAAAATGCATAACCAACATAAAAATCGAAAGTAGAAAAAAATTAACTTATGTATTAGTTTGTCTCAATATCTAAAGTATTTAGTACTTTCTTCTAAGTAAACTATGTAAAGAATATTAATATAGTAAAATAAAATGTTTAAGCAAAAAGTACACCGACTCAGATATTCAACACAATAACTGTCTTCTAGTCCTAATTAACTAAATCTACAAGTTACCTGTGGGCCTTGCATCAAAGCCTGCATTTCCATCCTAGATTTCTCCGTACAAGCATTATCAACCCTTAGAGATCTTCCTCCAATCTCATATCCATTCAAATTTCTCATAGCACTAAGAGCTGTTTCTTGATCTTTATACTCACAGAAACCATACCCTTTAGGCTTTCCTGTTTCTCTATCAAATACCAATTTGAATGACAGTACTGGACCTACTTCACTGAATATATCTTTCAGCTTCTCTTCAGTTGCTTCATAAGGTATGTTACCAACTAAAATAAACACAGATACAGTATGAGTACTAAAAATAACAGAAATAGAATTTGTTTTAACTTTAGCAATAGAAAACTTACCAAAGACTGATCTCATGGATTTATCCATGATGCTTTGTTCCTCTTTTTCCTTATTTTTATCCATTTTGACCTCGATATGGAACTACGGCTTAATCTTAAAATAATAAATATAAGATGTTTACTATAATTTATTATAGTCTTACTAATTAAACATCGTGATGCCGCTTAGAAAATTATTTAAAAATATTTAAGTATATAGAATGCTGTGCATATCGAGTATAATGTAACAAATCTTACTGTAAAATTGACCACCCAGGACTAATTTCCCTTCAATTACTAAGTCAGTTTTTACTTGGTAGTTTGTACGGATTACGGATTTATTTATTTGTGCTTTATATTTCATGCATTTAGTCATTTACCATTAATCTCACAGATTATAGTACTATAATATGTGTTTGCTCTGAAGCCACAGGTAATGTTCAGGTATTTCTAAAATATGATATGTATTTTATTTGTCAATTATTAAAATGTAGATAACTTTTCCTAAAGTACAATATGTATGAAGAAAGTAAAAAGAAAGGAAGGTAAAAAGATCAATCTAATAATCTATCTAATCTATAATCTATTTTATTTACCCCATATTATTATTTATTCTATATATACGTGGATATACAAATATAGTCTTTAAGTGATCTGTGACTACAGTATACTCTGTAAGACGATTTGGTGACATCCTCTTTTCAAAATTCTAGTAATTTATCAAATAATTATTCTCTTTAATTTTTGCTGTGCTTTTTCATTTTTCAATAATAATACACTTCAGTTAATTCAATTCGTATTATTTAATTGTGCACGATAACCCGCAGCGCTATATATATTCGAGTGCGTATTCTATTGTTTGAACGCATAATTCCAAAATAAGAATTTAATTCTGTCGGAATAAGGTGCACTCTTTATGTTATGTGCTGAAGAGAACTATGGAAAGATATTGAATTTGCCTGTTAGAACCGAAATTTGCTAGAATATTTATTAATTAACCGAAGCGTGCGGAATGAATCTCGACAATTCATCGAGAGAAAATTCGGAGGCTTTGGATTCCATCAGTACAGTCAGTCCGAGAGATAAATATCACAGCATGAGGGACAAAAAGTTATCAGTACCAGGCACGGAAGGGGCGCGGCCTAAAGTGGTAACAGTGAAGCACCCTGAATCAAATAAGCCCAAGCCAACAGCCAAGAAAAATAAACCTATACAAGCAGACTTGGATGTCATAAAGGAGTTCATAAGATGTCGTGACGAAGGTGTTAAGCGACTGGATCTTAGCAAATCATCTATTACCTCTTTACCTCCCAATGTACGAGACTTGACTCATCTAGTCGAATTTTATTTATATGGAAACAAGTTGGTTGCTCTCCCAGCAGAATTTGGGTGTTTGACGAATCTACAAACATTAGCATTAAACGAAAATTCATTAACTAGTCTACCAGACTCTCTCGCTAATTTAAGGTCACTGAAGGTACTTGATTTAAGACACAACAAGCTAAATGATATTCCAGAAGTGGTGTACAGATTAACATCACTGACTACATTGTTTTTGAGGTTTAACAGAATCAGAGTTGTGGGGGATGGAATTGAAAACTTGACTAACTTAACAATGTTGAGTTTACGGGAAAATAAAATTAAGGAATTGTCATCAGGCATTGGAAATCTGGTTAATTTAGTAACCTTTGATGTTTCTCATAATCATTTGGAACATTTGCCAAAGGAGATTGGCAATTGTATAAACTTGAGCACATTAGATTTGCAACATAATGACCTGTTGGACATACCAGAGACAATTGGTAATTTACAAGCATTAACTCGACTTGGCTTAAGATACAATAGACTCACCTCAATTCCATCTAGTCTTAGCAATTGTGTACATATGGATGAATTTAATGTAGAGGGAAATTCAATATCTCAACTGCCTGATGGTCTCCTATGCAGTTTGACAGAACTGACTAGTATTACACTGTCAAGAAATTCATTTGCCAGTTACCCATCTGGAGGACCAGCACAGTTTACAAATGTGTCTTCAATTAATTTAGAGCACAACCAAATTGATAAAATCCCGTATGGCATATTTTCAAGAGCCAAAAATTTGACCAAATTGAATATGAAGGAAAATCTACTGACATCTCTACCTTTGGATATTGGCACATGGTTGAACATGGTTGAATTGAATTTGGGCACCAACCATCTCACCAAACTGCCTGATGACATTCAATGTCTTCAAAATTTGGAAGTGTTGATACTGTCTAATAATCTATTACGAAGAGTACCTCCTAGCATTGGAAATTTAAGGAAGCTTAGAGTCCTAGATTTGGAGGAGAATAAACTAGAAATTTTGCCTAATGAAATTGGTTTCCTTCATGAACTGCAAAAACTTATTGTTCAGTCAAACCAATTAACAACTCTACCTCGGTCTATTGGTCACTTGGTAAACCTGACTTTCCTAAGTGTGGGTGAAAATAATTTGCAATATTTGCCTGAAGAAATTGGCACACTAGAAAATCTTGAATCACTGTATTTAAATGACAATCCTAATTTGTGCAATTTGCCATTTGAGCTGGCACTATGTGTGAGTCTGCAAATCATGAGTATTGAAAATTGCCCATTGACTTCGATCCCACCCGAGGTGGTATCATCTGGGCCTTCATTAGTGATTCAATACTTGAAATCTCAAGGTCCGTACAGAGCTATGTGATATGAGGAATATGATTACATGCAGTCTGCTTCTGGCACTGAAATCTCTTAATTTTGACAGCCCATGTATTGTGGCTTTCTCAATAGTCTTATTCCTGCCAGATATTTAACAGATTCTTATTACAGTTTGTCTCCAATATATCCAGTGGCCAAATGTGGTTTTCTTCTATTTGTAATTGAGTGTTAATGTTTCATCTGTTTACTGTTGTGTAAATGTGTAGTATTATTTTAATGTCTTTAAGTTATTGTAATTGTGATCTTAACATAAATTTGTGGATATAACAATTTGCCTAATTAGCAGTCCATTAACTAAACATGTACATAGTATGTTACATAATGTCACAATGGTATAAAAATTTATCAAATCTTGGAAAATGATTATCCATTTCAACACATTAAGTAAGTCAAAGATCACACAAAGTGTGACTACAAATGATTTATACTTTAAGGTATAACATGAAATCACAAGGATGTAATCCGATTTAATCTTTCTATTATAATTTGTAAAGATCTCATGGTCTCTCTGACTAGTAATCACATATTGTATTGCTTATTATTTTTATTGAATTAACCATGACATTTTAATGTTTAAAATAGTTGAAGTGATTATTCAAGGTGTTACATATTTTTTATACCTTTTATGTGTCACATCAAAGTAAATGTTTTTCATTTATCAGTGTTGTATGTAAGCATGTTGCATTTACTATTTTAATGTTTATCATAGGATATATGGTTAGTATTGCTTGTATACTTCTATGCTCATGATAGTGTTTTAATTTTTATACTATTTTTCAATATCATGTAGTCAGTTCGTTTTATGTATTATTGTTTAGATATAAATTGTATTTCCTTTGATGTCTCATAAACAATACGTTGAGCGTCATTAAATTTAGCACATAATGGCAATTGTAATTGCATTTGGTATAAATGTTGAATTGTTAAGTGTTACATTGATGACTGTAAACAATTGGTAAGGCGCTCTGAAAATTCGCTCTGGTATACAATTAGTCATGCGCAATTATGATCAAGCTATTGCTAAATATACCGTTATAACTCAGCATTTAATATCAGGCTGGTTCTGATATATTAAAATTTGTGTTGTTCGTGATTCCAAAAAATTAACATTACCCTCAGCCGTGTAAAGTAAAAAAAAATTGAATGTGGATATAAAAGGTTATTTTGCCTTTGTGTAAGATTTATGTAATCCTATGTGTTATGAAAATAAATAAATCCTAAATATCACTATTTCATTGACTTCGTACCAATGAAAAGAAAAGACGGAATTTTAAATTCAATAATTTATAAAGTGCAGTTACATAAGTTTATAATATAGATTGCGCATTTTTTCTTAGGATATAAATAATTGAAGTTATATACAAATATATTTTGAAGCATCACCTGTAAATTAAAGCAATCTATGAACCATCTAGAGAACTGTATCGCTGCGTTGCCATATAGCACTTATTCAAACTAAGCTATCGTTGTTATATATAAAAATATTCACCCTAATAAATCATCTATAAAACACACAATACATCACATTGTCATTAAGACAATTTGAAAAAACAAAAATTCGATAAAATGAGAAAAATACTAGAATAAATGTTGTTTAGCATACATCGTCCGAAAATTTGTCATCCCACTTACAAAATACATACAAAAAATAAATTGAGAAGTATCGACGCAAAAAATGCAATAAAATGCTGCTGAATTAATGCTGAACAATATTAACTCCCATTCTAGCAACTATTGCGAATGATCGTTTCGAGTATGTTAATATAATTATTATAATATTTTACTAGCATCTATGATCAGTCCTTATTCACAAGTTACATTAATATCATGAATATTTGTCAAAAAACCTTTGAATATCATCGTTGAGGTTCATTAGTGTAATTATACAAAAATAACATTGTTACTCTTACTTAACAGTAACAATTTGTTTCCAACCACTGCTGCAACTTCTATAACAAATCAAGTGACAAGATCTTAAACCTATACCTATAAATCTTTGGCATGTCCATTTACTAGAGAAACAGAAAATATACATATAAAGGGCTTTAGAAATTGTGATGATCACATTGTTTACTCGAAAACAACATTATGGCACATAACAAAAAATATCATAAATATCTACATAATTTTTTCATTGTGTTTGTAAGTTAAAAATTTTCTAAAAGAACTCCAATGTTGGTTTAGAAACACATTATTACTGTCACCTTGAGATTCCTGCATATAAATGTGACATTAGTTTGTCATTTTGTGCATCATATTTACATGATCAGACATTTCCTTTGATGTCTCTTTTGAGGCTCTGGCCTTAATACTGCCCGGACTGCTTCATCAAATACCTGCAACAACAAATTGATATATATTTTTTGTATATTAGCTGCTACTATCCATCATTACCTGATCAAAGTACTTCAACGACATCAAAATATCAAAAACATGGCTTCTTACTTGGATTTTCTTTTTCCAAAACCAAGTTCAAAGTTTTAAAACAGTAAAACATAGTCATCAGTTATTTACCTGCTTGAGACCACGCTGTGTCAATGCTGAACACTCCATGTACTTTACAGCCCTAATCTTATTTGCCAGCTTCTGCCCCTGTTCTCTCTTAAGTGGTGACATGCCTTGCTCTGAGAGTAAACTCAAAGTCTCCCGATCATCTCTCAGATCTATTTTGGTACCTAAATTAACAAATCAAAATTTTATTTAAAAATAGTCAATATATAAATTACAGTCATCTACCTGACACAAATCCTGGTCTTTAATTATAATACTTTTTGGCTGGAGTGTAAATATTTTTTTATGATGATCAAAGGTTTATTATAATAAAAGTGATTTTTCTAATAAGAATTAAAATATATCATTGTAACATATTATATCCCTTAGATTCATCAATAGAGGGTTGAATTCAACCATTTCCCTGAATACGAAATCTTAATAAACATTGAAGATTAATAAAGAAACTAAATATGCAACATTTCCTATATGCTTATTAATAGCAAAAATGTTTAATATACTTACCAACTAATATAATGGGTGCATCGGGACAATGATGTTTAATTTCAGGATACCATTTTGAAGTTACATTTTCATATGAAGAAGGACTGAAAAGCAATCACAATATTTAAATAACTTTTATTTATTTTTATGTATTTTAGCTAATGTCTTGTAGAACCTTAGATTTTCCATTATCAGTTGAACATAAACTTATAGGAAATTGCACCTTACAGAAATATTTAAAAAAATAGTCCTATAAATTCTTCCTAGCCTTACTATTATTTGCAAGTATGGGTGAAATGGTCAGCAAACAACGTGGACTGATCACCCGTCCTGCCGAGGGTGTCCCCGATAGAAAATAAATTATTTGCAAGTACTTTGTAATTCTGATACTTAAAAAATTAAACTAAATGTTTATGATTTATTTACATACCTTGTCACACTAAAACAAATCAAAAACACATCCGTCTGAGGATAGCTTAATGGGCGAAGTCTGTCGTAATCTTCTTGACCAGCTGTATCCCATAAGCCTAGTGAGACAGCAACCCCATCAACAACCATAGGGGCCGAGTAGTTATCAAAACTAGAACAATAAACATTGGTATATACTTGGAATAACTTCCGTAAACAATAAATATAAACGTAGTTTTAAATAGACTGCACTTACACAGTAGGTACATATTCTCCAGGAAAGCTGTCTGTTGTATATGATATAAGCATACAGGTCTTTCCCACGGTTCCATCACCGACCACAACACACTTAATCGGCCTTCCAGACGACATCTAAAACGATGTAAACTAATAATTATAAAATAAAAACCAGATTATGAGTCACAAAAAGTGGTCGCATACTCCAGTAAGAAATTGTACCTTTACTTGCTATTTGTTTATCTCTTAATGGATTCGATTTATAATATTTTATTCAATACTTTTTTTGGTTTAGATATTTTCTAAATCATCAATCTATGATGAATAAAAGAGCTCAAAACTGAAAATTTCGATTTCCATTGATAGTAAAAACACATTGAAAGATTGGAATTTTATTGCCAGATATAAATTTTTATTTGGTATTGCCATAATAAGAAATATTAAGTAACTATAGCTTAAACTTCAAATATAGCCTAAAAATGATTTGTTATATAGTCGTCAGTTGTCATTTGTCACTAGCAAAAGTCATACAATTTTTTTTTTATTTTATCTTATTGTTGATTATTTAAGGTCATTGCTCATACATATCGACACTCGATAGGTTCCATTCGTTATTGATTGATTGTGTTTCATCCTAGCTGTGCAGCGCTTGTTTCTTCAATGTTAATTGTTAAGTGATTAATTGGGTTCTGGTCCTAATACAAAAGTAAGTGCATTTTGAATAGCTTTGTATGCGGCTAGATGTAGTTATTCAAGTACAATTGCCATTTTAGATGAGTGAATCATGTGTGGAGACGCCTGAAGCACCAGCTTGGTTATCTAAACTTGAGAGTCAAAGAGAAAAACTAAGTAAAGCTAGATTAGGGCACGACTCCGGCGCCGGAGCGCCGTGTAACTCTTGTGGTATGTATTTACTATCTAATGAAAAACTCATAAATGATTTCTATAATATTATACATTCTATAAATTATATAAGTAATTAATGTGCTAGGTTCTTAGGTACACATGCATAGTAATTTTTATATAAAACAAAAGTAACTAAAGCTAAAATTTTATCAAAATTTTCTATAGCCACTACAAAGATTAGTCAACATAAACAACAATTGGAAGATGATTTCTTTACTTTGCATACTAAAATTTTACACACATATAGAGAAAAGTTTGTTTGGTGGGAGTTAATAATTAAAACCTTAATTCTATTTATTGATAGATAACATAAAACTGATTTAATCATTTTTGTGCCTAGATTTCTGGAAATCATTTTATCATAAGTAAGTAGATAAACAACATTCACCTATAATCACTTGTTTATGTAACTTTTTTTTCTGTATAAACATATTTTTGTCATTTAAAAATTTATTTTATGTAATGCAATGCTAAAATGGTAAAAAAACAATAATGTGCATGATCTGTGCTAATCAGTTTTAGTGTCTAGTCTGTTAACAATATTTTTTATTAAAATTTATTTAATTTTGTAACCTAATTTTTTTTTTCTATTTAAGCATGAATGAGTTAAAAGAATCAAAAATAGGGTACAGTTTTGTGCTCCTAATCCTATAGAAGACTTATTCATGCTTAAACTAGATTTTGGCTTGCATACAATTATAATAGTTTTAGCATATTCACAATAGGTGTTTCTTCATTAATACTTTATGCTCAAGCAAATAAGATTAAAGCACTTGTGTCTGCATGTCAAAGTAATTTGAAATAATATGATATCATTTATAGGTTCAGCTTGTCCGGGACTGGATCTACATTTCTGGCGGAAAGTTTGCCGAGCATGTCATTGTAGTAAGGATGTCCATGATGTTCAGGATGATGATTTGTCGGGTTGGGCTCAGTTTGAACTGCTTGGTACTGCTAAACCTAAGGCTTCCCGTAAGTTAAATTTTATACTCAGTAAAAATTTTTTTTTAATATTTTTTAAATTGTGATTCTTCAAAGTATTACGTGTCCTGAGTAGCTTAACTTATGTAACGTCTGTAGTTTACCCAATTAAACCGTAAATGAACCATTACAACATTTGAATAAATCCCTTTTAACACTTTACACACAATATATACTATGTTTCGTTTCTGATGCTTTGCGCCAGCCCCCAATGCATTTATCCCCCTTATATTTCGAGTTTTAGACCCTTGAAAGTTATTTAAGTGGTTAACATATTCATTTCTTATTTCCAGTAAGGAGAATATTGCTGTTGCAATTCATTTTCAATGAAATAATGATTTTGTAATAATACTTTAAAGATAATACACATATTGCTATATTTCATTTTAATGATGTAATTGATTGAAATATAAACAGGCTTTCAATTATTTTTGTATTAATAATTAATACTTATCAGGCGTAATAAGAAAGTAATTTTTTTCTTCTTTATCAATATTTTACTTTATAAATTATATAGCATGTTTATTCTAGGTTCAATTCATTAAAAATTGTCTGTTGTTTACGCGACTAGTACGCATTTAAATAAAACACTTTAACGGTTTAAAACGCGATATGTATTAGTTAAACGCTTTGCAGCAGCCGTGGTCCCTGGGAGACTATCCGAAACGTCGGCCCGAAGTTAAAAATAATTTCCAAATAAGTTTAACTAATATATATCGCGTTATAAACCGTTAAAATGTTTTATTTATTGTATTTGATGTTAAAAGTAGGGTAATCACATTAGTTGAATGTCATGTTGTTACAATAAGGACATGCATAGTATAATTCAATTAATGTGTTCTACATACGTAGCCCTTTACAGCATGAATTCCAGACGTTCTTCTAAAAATAATTCAGTAAGATTACAACTACAGATTATCTTAAGTTGATCCTCTTTCTTTTCAGTACCTCTAATAAAGATTCGAGGTGTCACAGATAAGCCTGTTAAACTAGACTGGGTGCCACCTAACGCTTCTACTGAATTGGTAAGATGCACGAAAAAAAAAATTAAATAATTTTAATAGGTAAATTCGACACCTCGTAGGACTCGGTAGCTTAATTGGTAGAGCAACAGCACGGAACGCTGACGATGTCGGTTCAAGTCCTGCCCGAGTCGAAATTTTTTTCAAATTATTTTCGATTTCTAAATTATAAGAGCACGTACCTAATACTTATATCTGAAGCATTCAAAATTCATTAGTTTTTTAATACTCATTTTGCAGTTTCGCTATACATATTGAGTACATTAATGGCTTGGGCACACTAAAAGCAGTTGCAATGCGGTAGCAGTGCGTCTACGTTTGTAAATAATGTAGTTATGTGAGGGATGACACACCGAACAAACGCGGGCCCGCTGAACCTAACTGCTGCGCTACTGCGCTGCGTACGCGCTGCTCTTTCACAAAACACTTCGACGGAAGCGGCGCGGTCGCTGCGCTTTCAAACTGCTCATGTTTTTGGTGTGACGTCAACCGCGGCGCAACTGACCTGCGCTGCGCCCGATCTGCTTTTGGTGTGCCCAAGCCTTTTCAAATTTCCAACTACAGATAAGATAATTATGATTCATAAGATTTTGATGAGGTATAATTTTTGAGACTGCTTTATTTATTTATCAAATGTTATGTGGCTGGGGTATATCACCTCTCATTAAGTGAATAATATTGTTGTCCTCCTATAGCATAAAAAAAAAAACAGTTTTTTTAATGATCAACAAATTCATTCATATTTGACTCAAGTACCTACTGTTTGTGAGTCTTTTGATTAGATGTGAGAGGTGAGTTATAAACAATCAGAAATTTATTCACTGGACCAAATAGCACTCTTTGCTGTCAAATGCTTAAGACATCTAAGATGGCGAGAGAAGACTTTTTTCTTAATAATAGTTGACAAGGTCTTTACTGGGTACACAATAATTTGCTTTCTCACAAAGCTATTATGAGTCCATAAAGCGCAAACCTGTTTAGTAATTATACAGCTACATAAAAATTAAATACTTTGCACAGGTATCAGAATACATGTCGTGCTTGGGTCCGCTAGCTCCCGTGTCGGGTTCCGATGCGGCTCGTAAACGGCGGGCGCAGCTTCGAACTCAGCTGCCACCCCACGATGTTGCGCCAGCGGCCAGACATCATGCCTCTGACCAGGAGAAGTCTGAACATACTGTATGTATACTATTTCACACGATTTTGTTAACGTAGCAAAGATGTATAAACGTTGTTATTATATTTTATTCTGTTACAGGAATACATAACTCGTATCAAGGACCATGTGGTCGGTATGGGCAACGTTGTCAGGGTGGGCCCCCTGCAGAGCGCCGAAATTTGCTCAGTTGAAAACAGCAAAGTGCACACCGCACCAAAATCATACGCGTTGCCATTAAAAATATCCAATTTATCGAGAGGCGTAAAATATAACATCGTCCCTAAAAATGCATCTGATAAAAAGCTCGTATTAGATTCGCAGGGTAATGTAATCAGTAGCACTGCTAACTTGCCAGATTACAAATCCAGCCCAATACTTAGCCGCATAGTTAAAGATAAACTGCATATAATGCGCATTGAATCAGATAGAATCAAGAGTGCTGTAGAGCACGGCCCTGTCTATGACAAACTCTTGAAGAACCTTAATGATCTCAACATGCCTGTCACAAATGATGTCTATTTACAGCCAATTAAATTGTTCAGAGATGAATATAACAAGAACCCTCAGTTTAAGGAAGAAGTTAACGAATTCGCTAACAAGGCATTGGGTGCTCAAATGATCCCCGATTTATTAGTTACAAATAATAATGTTATGGGCACAGCGAAGTTGCTCGATAGCAGGCTACAAAAGGGAACAATATTCGCCCCAAACGGAGAGATTTGGAGTTGGAAACAGGAGCCAACAACTCCTGAGCATAGTGGTACCATTCGCTCAACGAAGATCAGTCCTCAATATTCCACTTCTATGAAGCCTATCAACCAAGTGGAGCCACAACAAACTGCGCCGTTGCGAGAATATCTCAGAACCCATTCGGAAGAGGATGTACCCCCGCCATTGCCTAATTATAACACACATCCTGGAAACGTGGCCACCTTCAATGATAACCTGCATGACATACCTGTACAAGTCGGAAATTACACAGAACAACTTGATCCCATAATGACTCAATTCGCAGATATGTCCCTAAGTCCAGCTGAGGTGGAGTTCAATAGAAAACTCTATAATGAAGGTGTTCCTTGCCAACGTTGTGAGAAGCCAATGTTTGCTGGAGAAGTAGCAGTGAAAGCAGAAAGAGCAGGTCAAGAAGCAATTTGGCACCCCCAATGTTTCACTTGCTGCAAATGTGGAGAACTGTTGGCTGACTTGGTATACTTCTATTATAAGGGCGAGATTTATTGCGCTAGGGATTTGGCGAACGTTCTAGAGATACCGCGTTGCGCTGGATGCGACGAGTTGATATTCACTAGACCCTACACTGCCGCTGAAGGTAGGGCGTTTCATGTGCAGCACTTTTGCTGCTACCATTGCGATGCGCCACTAGGCGGGAAGAAATATGTGCCAGATGATAAAACAGGGTTGCCAATTTGCCTGTCTTGCTATGACCAGTTTTATGCGGAGCGGTGTCGGGCGTGTGGCGGGGTTATTGGCCCTGAGCAACAAGGAGTTTCGTGGGGCAATATGCATTGGCACGCCAACTGTTTCATATGCTCGGGGAGAATGTGCGGAAAGAGTTTGCTAAGTGGTCGCTTTGTTGTGAAGCAGGAAATGCCTTTTTGTAGTGTACCTTGTGTACAGAGTAGAATTAAGTAAAATCATAATATATTTACACAAGTTTTATAAGGTCAACAATTATATTTGAAACAAGTAATATAATTATGTTTTGATAAAATATTTATGTGCTCCTTGTATTTGCAATTAATCATATGATAAACATTTTTTATGTATTTGCCTGTGACAAATTCTTAGATTTACTTCTTTCAATAGTCTCCATACACTATTTTTGGTTATTATCTAATTGTAAACTAGATGGAGCAACTTAGTGGCCTTTACATTTTGCAACATGTGGACCATTACTTTATAACATTAGATATAAAGAATTTATAATGAACAGATGATGTTACATATAAAAGATTTTATTATAATAAACAGTATTTATTTGTGTTGGGCATAGGCTTCACCAAATAGCAAAAATTGTGATAAATTAATGAGACATGACATAGTACATTCCTTATTGTGCCATTGATTGCATTTGTATTAATTATAAGTGATAATAAAGTACATTTTTGTAACTAGATCTTTTTATTGGATGTTATACCTATTATTTCAAATTGTGATCATGAATTCACACTATTAAAATACAAATTATTGTTGTTTATTTAGCCTATAAATGATAACTTTTGTTTGTTAATACTGAGCATACAATGTTAAAATATTTCTGTTATTACAAAGAAAAAATAAGTTATTAAGCTAAAATTATATTTGATACACAATTTAGTTTAATTGATAGCTACAAAAGACATCTTATTCTTATACATCTGTTAATAATCTTCCCCTAACATCAAAAGAGTTCATAATAATATTGTATTTTCAGTATTATTTTGCTTCATTACTAAGATTGAATCTACTGGTTTAATTATATAATAAGCGTGTCAACTAATATAAATAAAAAGATCTAAATATGAATTAATACAAAGTTATTTTTAATAGTTTGAATACAACTAAGTTATACTTTAAGCTCCGATTTTAAGGTTGCCAAGATCATTTTTAAGCTTGTTTACGTTCTCTTGAATTGCCTCTTGTTTATTTTCTAATGCCGAAATATGACCGTCTGCTCTTTTGATTTCCTTGCTTATATATTCCATACGTTTAGCAACATTCTGTCTAGCGTCCTCTAAATCCTGTTTCACTAAAACGGGTCCTATGAGCTTGTAAACTTCGGAATCCTTTTTTAATAACATTAATTCTTCCTTCACGGCTTTGTTTTCATTCAATTGGCCGTCTAATTGCTGCTTTTGCGCTACAGCCTTGTGGTACTCTTTTTGAAGACTATTAAATACGTCGAGCTCTTTTTGCAGTTTCTTTTGTATTTCTGCAGCCATCTCAAAAGAAAATATTCGTAAAACACACTCTTAATAGTTATTTTTAACGATACGTTCGTTTTATTAATCCTAAGATCTCGAATGTAAATATGATACTTTGCAGGTTATTTCACAGACGGTGTTGTCATATCTGTCATTGTCAAGTCTAAATACAAGTGCAAAGAGTAAAAAAAAAATACAGACTATTCATGTAAGCGCACTATCGCAAGAAATTTTAAAATATGATTAGATATTTTTTGTTATATTGTCGATAGTAGCATACAAATTTCAGTCTCCAAATTCCATTAAATTCTTCGTAAATTTAACATTATGATTTTATAACTTTTGTCCATATTCCAAAGTCCACGCATAGCCCGCATTTGGATCGCCGCTTTTTTCTGCGTCTTGTTGAATTTTTTCTGTCTTCTTGAGAACATTTTGCAAAGTACTATATAATTCTTTATTAGGCAATATATATTTAGCGGTCTTATCTTTTTTAGAATGCCGCTTTCCGAATCTTTCACGAACAAATTTTTCGTACAAATCCTCATCATCATGGTCACCATCTTCTTCATCTGATTTCTCTGAATTTTTATTATATTTTGCAGAGTTATCTTTATATCTGTTACGGCCATCGTATGATTGATGAGACTTTTTATTACTTTGTGGTTCTTCTTCTGATTCATCGTGGTTGAATGTAGATTTTCTTTTATATGTAGGCTCCTCATAGTTATATGTCAAAATATCGTCGGGGAGTTTAATTTCGGGTAGTTTTAAATCTATGTCGCTTAATCTGATGTATAAGTTTTCATCTATTGGGTCATTGGCCTCTTTGTCTGTCTTTTCTGTATCATCGGCATGTTTGTAGTCCAAAGGTATTCGTTCAACTTGTTGCTTTAAATTAACTTTTTTATCATTTGTCTGAAGTTTTGTTGCAGGATTATTGAGAGTAGTAGTAATTGCTAATGGACTTTCTTCGGTTGATTCATCACTCCCGCTTTCATTATTTAGTTCAATAACCGGTTTTATTTCATCATCTTGAATGTTTCTTATTTTAGAATTGTTTGACGTGGACTTAAAACCATTATCAACAATATCTGAAGAGTTATACGTTTTATCTTTTTTATTAATTAGTTCACTACTTTCATCACTTTCTCGATTCGATATATTACTTTCATTACTTACATTTTGATCAATATTATTTCTTTTTTCATTTAAATCATTTTGTTCTAAACTATCCCCACTATTATAATTATTACTATTTTTAAGTTGTTTTGAATCATTAAAGTCATCTGTAATATTTCGAATAATCTCATCACTATCTCTATGTGATTCAGGCACATGTGTTTTTTCTCTAAACTGTTCGCTACTTTCAATACTAGATAAATTACTATTTTCGTTGCTATTTTCATCACTATGCTCTGTTTGGATTTTTTCTCTACGTGGCAAAGGATCTATAGAATATTTGGATCCGCTTTCGTTCTGCGTCACACCTGACTGATTTTCATCTGATTCAGTATATTTTTTACTACTATTAATTTCATCCAAATTGTTGTTGGCATGGTTGCTTTTAGCATTTTCCACACTATCAACAATTTCTGAGGAATCGTTTTCATATGATGCCGGAGAGGGTTCCTTTTTTTCAAAATGTTTTTTAGAAAGCTCTCGACTGTTTTCATTTTCACTAGAACTAATGTTTATATCAGAGTTTCCTAAATTACTTTTAGAGTATGTCTGTTTATCATTATCTTCTACGCTTGGTTCGTCTCGTTTAGAATAATCAGTAAATGGTCTTTCAACTTCTTCATAGTTTTCATTGCTTCGAGAGATACCTCTGTTATAATTTTCACCACTTTCATCTATTTCTTGAGCATTCTTTGTATTAATTTTTTCATCCGACCCATTTTCTCTAACATTTACATCGATATTATCTTTATTTTTATTTAAATACGGTTCTTTATAAAGTTTTTCTCTATTGATGTTTTTGTTTCTTCCGGTAATGTATTCTTCAGAAGTTTCATCTATGTTACGACTGTTTTTCTTAAAATCGTTGTTTGCATTATTACTATCACTCTCAGATGTTTCGTCCCTAATAACTTCTTTTGTAAAAGGTATTTCTTGCGAATCAATCTTATCTTGTGGATTATGTAGCGTTTTTATATTAAAATCAGCTAAATTTGTTTTTTTAATAACTTCCCTTTCTAAATTCCCACTTCCGGGCGTATGATTTGTAACATAATCGTAAATTAATGGGGCGTCTCTTTTTTTCCTTAACATGTTATTTTTAGGCCCTGTACTTTTTTTAAATACTGAATTAAGTTCATTATTTTTCGGTGATTCGAGAGGTTTGTGTTCCTTTGCCTTTTCACTTTTTACCTTATCATTAAAGCCTGTTTTAGGTAAATTATTTTCTTTTTTCTCTACTACTGTCATTTCTCTGCATACGTATTCAGCGTGGGTGTTATTATTTCTTATTAGAGTAATATTTTTACACATAGTGTTATTATCTAGCGTATTATTCTCGGTAACATTTAATACGATTGCGTCCGTTATCTGAAAAACATATTCGTTATTAATATTAAGGTAAGAAATACCTTGGTAGTCAGTGCCACTAAATAACCGACTTATTTACGAAGAAATTGAAATTCTAAGCTAATTGAAGTTATACTGTGATGTTATTTTAGTATGTAAGTACTTACCGAATCAAAGCGTAGGAGTAATTCAGCCCAATACGTGCAATAATTTCAAATAAAACGATAAAATCTACATTATTATTTATTTATATGAAAATTTCTTATTTACTACTATTTACAGTATTAATTACAACGGTTATAATTCCGAAAACCTAAACAATGTTGGGAAAGTAATAGTCGTAATAAATAATATTTTTTTTATAATTTACAACCTATTAAAATGTGGTTTTATGTAATTTTATAAATAAGGCAAGAAGCTTCTACATTAATTAATTATTATTTGTTATTTCACATAAGGATATTATGTACAAATATCTAATAAACTACGCAGTATGGCAAAACAAGAGCGATTAAAAGTATGTTCTTATGTTATTTATTATAATTTTATTCAAATCGGGTGTTTATGACATTTATATGAAAAGACTCAATTACTTGTTATAAAAATTATAAATGGTTACAGTTTATGAATGTGAAAAACAATAAAGGAAATAAGTCAAGCACCATAGTATATTTCCTATTCAGAAAAAGAGGTTATATTGATTGTTTTATTTCTTATTAAAAATAAAACACTTTAACGGTTTAAAACGCGATATATTAGTTAAACTTATTTGGAAATTATTTTTAACTTCGCATCCGAAACGTCGGGCCGAAGTTAAAAATCATTTCTAAATAAGTTTAACTAATATATCGCGTTTTAAACCGTTAAAGTGTTTTATTTAAATGTGTACTACTCGCGTAAACTATAGACAGTATTTTATTTCTTATTTGTCAAACTTCTGCACATATATTACAACTGGTGTTCATGTCAAAATTGCTTTAATTAACCCAAATGTTCTACTAAAAGGTTTTAACTACTTCAGTTTGAACGGTTTAAAATGCGAAATATATTAGTTAACTGATTTAGGTTTTCCCACGACGGCGGCGTTAGCCTAGTATTTACTTTGACATTTACTACTTGTCGTAGTTAAAATAAATCGTAAATTAGTAATATATTTCGCGTTTTAAACCGTTAAAGTGTTTTATTTAAATGTGTATTACTTTCGTAAACTACAGCCAGTACTTACTCCACTTTGTTTTCAGTTTTATTTGTACAAATAGTGCATATAACATTTTGTTATTACTTTTACTCTACCTAATACTAGAAGCTACACTCAAGTAGACCTTAACAGAGGTTACTTGGGTTTAATACTTAGAGCAATTTATTAAAATAAATTACTTAACTACCTTACAAACTACTGACTACATACTCGAACACTACAGCTACATACACTAACTATATTCATATATAGGCACTGAATAATATTTCTTTCTCTTTGTGTTCAAATTCTTCTCCGATAGGAGCGAAAAACAGTGGAAAATTTTGAACAAAAACGGGGAAAGCTATTGGCCTTGGAAAGCTGCCGTTGTGTGCCATGCGTAACTAAATATGTTTATATATTTATTAAATATAGTATATTCAGTGCCTATATTAACAATGTACAATATTACTAAACTACTGTGCTATTTGACTATTTCCCGTGGTACGAGTTGTATCCGAAACTACTCACGTATTGCTTAGCGGCTCCAGCGAAGGGAACGGGTTCGGCCCATTTGGAGAAGTCCATGGACGGTAATATGCCACTTCTGCAAGGTACTCTTGGGTTCCTATTAAGAAATTATATGTAATAGGTAAAAAGTCTAGCATATTATAATATACAGGGATTTTTGTGTGATGAGAAAAGGGCGAATATAAAATCTCGAAGAGTTTTCGTTTGTTTGTAAATGTGAGTTTTAATAGATAAATAAATAAATGTTTTACTAATGTGTGTATTAGGGTGTTCTACATGAATGTTATAGACTTTAATGTCAGTTTCTTTACGTAGGACATGAAACAGACAGATTTTTATTTATTTAATTTTGTGCATTGCATCTTGTCGCACCGGACTTCTACTTCCTTCAGTGAACCGAGGTACTTTTTTATGATAGAGTAATACAGACAAGCTTGGAGTTGGAGTTGGAGTTCATGATTGTAGGTGAAACACCCCGGCCACATAACATCTAAACATGATGCGCTGTTGGCCTATTTACACACTGGCTGGGAACTGAGAAAGGGAGTAGTGGGTGAAATTTGAACGCTACTTACAATTCGTGATCGGGCAGGACCATTGGGTAGAGCTGGACTGTGTCAATGATATCTGTATTGTCACAGATGACGCGGGCCAATCGAGACTTCCTTATCTCTGCCAACTGTTCCGATGTAAAGGATGACGGTTGGTTTGGTAATTCGAACCTGCAGGTGTAGAATAGTTTTAGTACATATTTCGAAGTATGTAGCTTAATTAAATAATAATATATCCCGCGTTTTAAACCGTTAAAAGTTAGTTTAAACTATTTTAATTGTCTTCTATGAGAAACATGCTGCTACGCTTGAATGCCAATGGTTAACTTATGACGTTGAAGTTCGATTTGGTAAATTAATTATAAAGCCAAAGTTTATAAACTTATCATATTATTAGAAGAAATGACGTTTACATATGCTTTGTAATTTCATAAAATTTAATCTTTCAATAAAACACTTTAACGGTTTAAAACGCGATATATTTTAGTTAAACTTGTTTGAAAATTATTTTTAACTACGGTCCGACTACTAGTAAACCAACAAAGTGTTTTATTTAAATGTGTGTAAACTACAGATAGAATTTAAATTGAATCTTATTTTTTTAATATTTTTGTGGTGTCTTTTCTACTCCATCTTGATGTTTTGCAGATAATTAAACTTACTAGAATATAGTTCGAGCAATAATAGAACAGTTTAGTAGTTAGTATAGATAGCAAGCCAATAAATGATTTCACAATACAAGGACGCTTACCAGAATCTATCACCACGTCGCGAATAAGAGAACTGCGTAGCAATAATGCAAGCGAAGGTCGGTCCCAACATAGACCCACGGAGAGGCCTCTCAGAAACTCCACCCGACCACAAATCTATGTCGATCGGATGCTCAAATATCGTTTCGTACTTCCTCAAAGTCTCATTCGGCATAGACCCGAACAGATCCTCGAATCTGCTAGCATCGGATAGACCACAGAACTTTCTGTACTCCATGTAACCGGGGATACCGAATTCTCTACCTCTCTGCATGTTGAACGAGACCAGATCCATTCCAAACCGTGCACCGACCTTCTTGAAAAGATGGTTAGTTACTTCCTGGGTAATAGAGTCGTCCATAGCCTGAGCCACTTGGTTCATTAGACCCATGACGTATTCGTCAAGAACACCAGCTCTGTACAGGTCGTAAGGTCTTCGAATCAGGTCAGATAGACGTTTTGACGCTGTAAAATGACATTTTAGTATTTAAGTTATACTTAGACCATATAATTATATTAATCCTGTCTATAGTTTACGTGAGTAGTACACATTTAAATAAAACACTTTAACGGTTTAAAACGCGATATATTAGTTAAACTTATTTGAAAATTATTTTTAACTTCGGCCCGACGTTTCGGAGTCTACCCGATCAAGAATGTAAAATGAAACTTGGCGATAAAAGGAGTGACGGCGAGTTTATTGCCAGTTCTTCTCGTTCGTTCTACGCCCTTGATTTGTGAACTGGTAGTAAAATATGTAAAGTTAGATTCTATAATTATTTTGTGACGTTCATAAGTGTACATAGTTACCTACATGAATAAATGATTTTTGACTTTTGACTTTTGACTTTTGACCAGTGACCACGGCTGCTGCAAAGCATTCGAAACGTCGGGCCGAAGTTAAAAATCATTTTCAAATAAGTTTAACTAATATATCGCGTTTTAAACCGTTAAAGTGTTTTATTTAAATATATTAATCCTAATAACATTTTAACGGGCACGTTGGTTAATTGTAGTAATATATAGCTAATAATCAATGGGTCGGGTCTATGTTTCTAATCATTTTTTTTTCTGTTGGACTTCGTCTGGAAATCTGGATATTAAATGTGTTGTGGGAAATTCCGTTCGGGTCACGAGCCACGAACCACAGATGAAAAAGTCGTGAAGTTTAATCGCGTTTCGGTTTCAGTCAGCGGATTTCCTAATATCCAAAGCAAAAATATCCAATCAAGTGAGCTCCGTGCTTGTCTGTCGTCCTCTATCATTAAAAAAAGTTCAAAGAACAGCTGTCTTTTAAAGAGTGTGTTCTTTTAAAAGACCTTTAGCTTTCAAATCAGCCCTGGGTAGAGTGGGTACAGTCCAAGGCTTAGTGGAAACAGCATTTTTAAATGAGCACTGCATAATAATATCTATTCATACCAATAAACTTGTGGGCCTTGGACCATCTTTCCACAGCTGTTGGCAATAATGAATGTCCGAATCTGTAGGCAGCTGATGCGAAGGAATCGATGACATCCGGGTTGACGTGGGGATCGTATCCGTCCCAGTAACCCTGAAATTCAAACATTACAATTAATAATTATTATAAATTAAATATGGCCTTTCTAAATCAAATTACAAAATATAAATCTTTTGAAATTATTTTTAAATCTGAAGCACACAGGAAAGTTCTTTGTAAGAATCTAAGTAATAAGGAGTTTTTGGAACCCTGTTTCATAATATTTAAGATTTTTAGTAGTGACTAAAGCCGTTTAGATCTAAGACGTGAGTATGTAAAGAACCGGATCATTGCAAATGAAAGTTCTAACGCTTATCCCAGACAGATCTCTTCTGACGAAAGGAAAAAGTGAGAATGATATACGATCTATCTTCGTATAAGAGAGAGCTGACGTGTAGGATTTCCCAAGGTTAATAACCAATTGACCAAGTTGTTTTTATATCCAGAAATACGGTATTTTCGAAAGGAATTATATACTTAGTCTTCAAGTTTAAATAAAACACTTTAACGGTTCAAAACGCGATATATATCACGGTGATCACGGGGAGACCACGGCTGCTGCAAAGCATCCGAAACGTTTAATTAATATAAATTGTGTTTTGAATCGAGAGTGTGTTTTATTTAAATGTTTACTACTCGCGTAAACAGACAGACAGACAACAGACCGTATTTGTCTTCAAGTTGATCAATTAGATTATCTGACTCATGATTACATTTAAGACAGTTTAAAACACTAACTTTATTGTCAAATAAGTAAGGCCCAACGTTTTAGATACTAACAAAGCCGTGATAATATTGTTTAATGTGTGAACCTAGACCCACATTTAAGAAGAACACTTAGTCTTGTTTAACTAGCATTTTAATATATTTCTTTACCTGCTTTTCAAGCACCAAACCAAATTTCTCCATAACGTCCTTTCCTAGCAGTATTGGCAAGAATTCATTGTAGGTGATGTGCTGTATTTCGGCTATATTTATCCTTCTTGCTTCTTGGAAGAGTGTTTCATCGTCCCAATGAGGGTTCACTCCAGCTAGGCCTTTGGCTACTCGATTGTGCTCTCGGGCCATAAGAGTGTGCATCACTGTTAGTACCAACTGCTCGTTTACACGGATTTCACCTGAAAACATTTTTGAAATATCTTTTGATCTGAAGGCGGTAAACACACCATTGTATACTGTCTATAGTTTACGCGAGTGGTACACATTTTAACAGTTTAAAACGCGATATATTAGTTAAACTTATTTGAAAATGATTTTTAACGGCTGTTGCAAAGCATCCGAAACGTCGGGCCAAAGTTAAAAATCATTATCAAATAAGTTTATCTAATATATCGCGTTTTAAACCGTTAAAGTGTTTTATTTAAATATATAATTTTATTTTAAAAAATACCTAGAAAACTATAATCCACGTTGCTAAACGCTGATAAAAAATAATTATATGAAGAAATTAGTTAGGAAATACTTAAGAATGTTTCAAACTTACCAGCTTCAAAGCAGTACATATTCTTATTAGGTCTTGTGCAGCCTTCATCTGGAATATCGAGTTTTAGTGGTAATAAATCCTTCAGCCCGTATTCCTTGAAGACAGGGTTCATTCGTAGCAGACCTCCGTAACCGGTTCTTAGTTTTCTGAAAGTAACATGAATTGCTGTTAGAAGATGCTATAGAAATTGGTTTTGGACTTTTCCCATTCTCACATGTTGGGACATGATGCCACTATATAAACTAAAAATTTATTTCATATTATTTTTTTACGGTAAACATATTAACCAGAAGATTGAATGGAAAATTGTTAAGGTTGAAATTACATTGCGCGAGAGGTGCAGTTATCAATAGACTGAAATCGAAGATGACGTATAGGACGCGGTAGCTCAATTGGTTACAGCAACAGCACCAGACACTGTCAATGCCGGTTCCTGTCCTGCCCGTGTCGTGAACTTTTTCCAATTTAAAATTGATTTTAAAATAGGTTCGTTGGCGAAGAATTAATTGCATGTTAAAAAAACGAGTAAAAAGTCTAAAGTTCTGTGTTGCATCGTAAAACAACTTGAAAACTTTATTAGCATTTAAATAAAACACTTTAACGGTTTAAAACGCGATATATTAGTTAAACTTATTTGAAAATAATTTCCTCGTGACCACGGCTGCTGCAAAGCATCCGAAGCGTCGGACCGAAGTTAAAAATCATTTTCAAATAACTTTAACCAATATATCGCGTTTTAAACCGTTAAAGTGTTTTATTTAAATATGTACTACTCGCGTAAACTATAGACAGTATTTAACTTAAAAATTGAAAATGAATTGAAAAAAATTTCGACTCGGGCAGGACTTGAACCGGCATCGTCAGCTTTCCGTGCTGTTGCTCTGCACGAGAAGCTGACGATGCCGGTTCAAGTCCTGCCCGAGTCGAAAATTTTTTCAATTTATTTTCGATTTTTAAATTATATAGTGCCTTCATGTGCGATAACATGTGAAAAATATTAATGTTTTCAAAAGTATTTAACTTTATTAGCATAAATTAATGGCATAGTTTATTTTATACTTTGATATATTTAAAAACAGCAACGCACCTTGCAAACTTCTCCGTAACACCGTATACTGTGTTTCCATCAATAGCACCAGTCAGGGTGTTGAACGGGACTCTTGAACCTTGAAGTAAACAGACGTGTAAGGATGCTGTCATGATAAGATGACGTAGAGAGATTCTTGCCTCCACAATAACATAAATAAAGCACATTTAATGTAAGTGTATATTCGTAATTCAATTCCAAATAAATTTCAAACATTACAATAATAAATACTATCTATTTATTTAATTATAACGGCAATGGAATCATCACGATTATTTTTAATCGAAAGAAACTAAATTAAAATACCAATTTGTTGAAAGAGCAGTATTCAAATCAAGTGAAAGTGTCGATTTATGTATTACATAGATTACAACTTAAGGCGTTGCAAAATTAACAAGAATATAATTTACATACTTTAATGTAATTAGTAAACAATATTAATGGTCATTTCGGCATCTTTGCATGGGTATCTTACTGTAATGGTTTACGCTTCGTTAAGCTAAGTTAGTCAATTTTCATGTCAGTTGTGAATAGGAACAACCAAGGACAAGCTATGCAAAGTGCGATATTATCCTAATTTTGACAGAATGATAAATAATACGCCTACATCGAGTTGATTATGGCGAAAAATGGGCACTAATGTTGTGTACGGCTATATCGTATATATAATATGATTTCTTACTTTCAATCATTATTATTTTTTTATGATAGAGGAGGCTAACATGGCACTTGATGGTAGACGATATGCCCCACCCTATAGCATCTAAACAATATGCGATGTTTTTTGTTTAATTCTTACATATTAAGCAAAACTGTGCTGTGTGTATCTTCTGCCTTTTTTTATTTACTTATTTATTTGCATCGTTCGGAAGGTAGGAGGCCCTCCATTTTAATTACACCGGCATGGCTTAGAACCAAAAATTCTACAACTCATTTTATATTCACTAATACGCATTTAATTTGAAAAATCAAGATCTCGTAGGAGGTTCCCGCCTGGGGAATTGTCAAAAACAACTGAAGAGCACAATTGTCAATATGTTACTCAACATCGCAAAAATAAACGAACGCGTAACTTTTATTATATAAAATAAAACGGTTTATCTCGATCGAAATGGAAAGTTCGCGAAGTTTGACTGGTTTGAAACTGGCATCTTCGCTTTCGAAGTGTTATGTTATATTACGGATAATAATTACACTCGGTACTTCCTCCGATATAAAAATTTTGCACCACTTAACGTTTCGAGATTTGCTTTCACTTCGTTCCAGTGGTCACACGGTTGGAAGGTGAATGGATGATATAAAATGATATAACACTTAATGATGCTCTTGTTGAACGGTACAGCGCAATTTGGTCGAGTGGTTTGAGAAATACTGGCATTGTTTGAAATTGAAGTATATGTTATTTTTCATTATAATGCAGGAAATATAACGAACCAACTATTATTTTTATTACTAAAACTGTTAAAAATGTTTTTATGTATAAGTTCATCAATTTAGAGATGGATATTGGAGGTTTGTCTCCAAGGGAAATACAACAATTAAATTCTTTTTATCCAATATTTAAAAAAGGCATATTCATTTTAATTCCTTATCATTCTATACAAAGAACTTGTAAACACAGAAGAGAAAAATACTGGCTACTATCCACTGTCTATCATAATCTAGTAACTTACATCTATTTATTTATTTATTATTTTAATTAGCACGGCACAGTAATTATACAAATTAACGACAGAATAAATGGCTTCCTAAATATGTTGTACTGATATCGTAAATGTGAAAAGCCGCGCCAGATCGTAGAGATTGAGAAATGGTTTACAATGTTTAACCTACACACATCTTTGTATGTTAGATCTATTGACGTAAGATTATGTATAATATTTTGTACTTACTTATGTAACGTGTAGCTTATTTAATCGGTGAATAATATTTCGTAGTTTAGTAATAATTTTATTTTTATGCAATTTATAGGATACCTTAGCTATTGTTATGGTATATTTAAAAATATTTACACAAAATATAGATTAAACATGAAGAGTCAATAGACTCGAACTAAATGCAAATGATTTTTTATTTAACGGGTAGGAATATCGAAATTTCATCCGGATCACGAACTACCGTCCACAGATGAAAAATCCATCAAGTTCAATCGAGTTTCGGTTTTAGTCTGTGCAATTTCGAATATTCGAAGCGACGAAATAGGTAGATAGCTCATCTGTCTGCTGGGTTATTTCACTCATTATCAAAAAGCATGGGGTTTTAATTCTCTATCATAAAATAAATCCGATTGTCTAGATAAAATAATGGTGTTATTTTAAATTTGATTAGCAAAAAGGCTTTCTTTCTTTGAGACCTTGTAATATTTTAATAATTAATATTATGTAATGTACAGATGTTGGAAATGTAGCGGCAATCATTCACCTGAATATTATGACAGCCGATGTTGAAACAGTTGAACTTTACAACTATTGCTTTAATAACTGCGAGGTCATTTGTAAAACGTAAACATTTAGGTCCCATTTTCAATTGGTTTTAAGAGTATGTAATATTACTTTTACGACATACTAGCTGTGTCAACGACTCCGTCCGCGAGAATCGTTATTTTGGGCATCTAAATTGGTTTTTGCAAACCAATCACTCCCCCCTATCTTTATAAACTTATACTGTTGCACACGACGTTCTTCGTATCCCTTCCTGTCGTTCTTGCAAGTTAATCTTAATAGTACATTATGATATAAGTGCGGTAAGTTATAGATAGGTAAGAAAATTACAGCCGAGGCGATATTACTATAAGTACTATAAGAAAGCAGAGGCTGTAATTTTCAAAGCGCACGTATGTCATACGACGTTTTATAACATATTTACAAAGAAATTATATAAATAATTTTCCTATCTTTCTCCACATTTCTCACTGTTTCTTCGCGCCTATTAGTCGCTCGGCTTTAGCCTAAGTGAAGATATGAATAATTTCTTTTCTCACCAAGTTTACAGCCAGGTCTAGGCGAAGGGAAACCTCTGACGAAGTCGATGCACTTCACTCCGAACAGACGGTAGAAGTAGTCGTCATCTGGTATCCTGATCTCATTGCAGTAAGGATGTTTCAGGTGTTGTGGACGCTTGCAACACTCTTCTGGGTCGTTACGGTTTATGGGGTCTAAAAAAATAAAGTAACAATACAATAATAATTATGAGTTTATAGCTTTATTTAAAATAATTAATTAAAAAAAAATAAGATTACATCTCAATAAAACACTTTTAACGGTTTTAAAACCCAAAATTACAATTTTGGGTTTTAAAACTACTACGTTGCAAATTAGCAGTTATCGAATAATTGTAATATAACATCTGTTGGCAACTTACACGAGTGTTGAAATGTATTGTATTGTATGAAATGTACCTTAATTGATTTTCAATGTATATCTAAAATTCTGTTTATATAAATTAAAAAAGCGATGACTCGGGCGGGACTGGAACCAGCATACACAGCGATCTTGCTGTTGCCCTAACGGCTTGAGCTACCGTGTACTGAAGGTAGCAAAATACATCAATAAAGGTTTAAAGATGTATTTCCACACGTAATACCTTACCGTATAGAGATCAGTGAGAGACTAGTTTTATATATAAAATACCTAACATTAATAATATTAAAAATATATAATAATAAATAAATACGCGTTTTGCAATGAATATAAGTAATACTATACCCAAAGGTGTTCCAGTAAGCGTGTAATCGTGGTCCATAAACTGCCCCCAGGCGATGACCATCACAGTGCCCGCATGGTCATGGTAGCCCTCATCTTGATGCATGGTTCTAGAGACAACACGAGATAAAGGCAGGTCTCGACCAGTATGGGCGATTCTTGGTGCGTTGATGCCATCAGCGAAAAGTGGACCAATCAACCTAGAGAAATAATTATGTAAAATTTACGTGTGCTTTTGATTTCCAAGTGTTTATAGAAGAAAAGTGTTTAAAAGACTTAATAGGTTCTTTCATAGTTCTTCGAGTAGTTGAGGAGCTGACATCTCCTGATGATGCCGTCCACTCGTGATGGCAAAACCTCTTCTCACTCACGTCGGCTGAACAGCCCGAAAAACAATGGTATATGTTGAACGATGGCCGTGAAAGCCTTGCACAATTTATTAGGTATTCTTTTAATTTTTCTTACCTTTGGAAAGGAGCCATGGTGGCTCCCCATGTTGGATGGTGCAGATTGTTACAGAGGCCATCCAGTCTCCTATATTTCCCGGCTCGGCATTCAACGTGAGAGAAAACAGGTGGACACACTTCCCGAATCAAAGTTCGCGATGTGTCTATAAGTGGTAGACCTTTCTCTATCTCCTCGTACGTTAAGCCGTATCTGTGAATTATCAAAAACATATTAAATAGTTTATGGTCTTTAGTCAATTTGTTGATCTAGTGTTAGTAATATACCGTTATTAATCAATAGGTCGTCGATCCTTTACGAGTCCCACCATGTTTCTAATTGACTTATAATTTTTCTAAAACGTGACTTTGTGTGGAAACATCTAGATGTTAAATTAATAGTAGGAATATCAAAAATTCTAGGCACTGTTTCTGCTGAAGAAGTCGTGTAGGGTATTCGCGTTTTGGTTTCTGTGGGTTTCCGAACTAAAACAAAAATATGCCAATAACACATCTTGTTAGTATGGCTCTGCCTGGTGTTACCTTACATCCGCGATAGTGCCCCATGCTTGTCTATTCTCTTCTGTCCTTTAAATCATCATAACGTCTAATTAAAATTGTAAAGACATAATATTATTACTGTTTTCAGAAACTCAGAGAAACTCCGAAACTTTTACCGAAATATACACCTAAAATAATAGACTTAAGTAGCAAAAACCTTATTTCTTTGTAACGTGTAGATTTGGTTAATGTTTTATAATTGCAGCGAAGTGTATGAACGTTTATTTTTATCGTTTGAGGTCAATGACTATATCAAAATCTGGTTCAAGGTCGCAAATCACAAATTTCGAAGATGATTGTTGTACGGTTTGTCAAACCGTTTTAACAATGAATTACATTTGGTACAATCCGTGTTTTGTATAGGTAAGTGGAAAATGCTATATCTTATAATATTCATTTCTCTCTATTTGAAATATGTTCTTCTTTAATTCCTATTCACCCATTTATGTAAATAATAATATCTGTAAAGTGAAATCACGTCTCTTCCTGTGGGACATTGGACGAAAACATTTCTTTGTCCGATCGTCTAAATAATTTTATTTACAGAGTAGTTCAAATATTAGTAGACGAAAATATTATCGTTTCCTGGAATATGAATCTTAGGACCTCTCGTACTTAACCCAATGATAGGCAATGCGTTTGACTCATCATCATCATAGGTCGAGTCATCGTATGACTAGTCCAATAATAAGATCAAATACGTGAATAAGTTAACGTCCAAATCTGTCTTATCTAAATTCTATTTTTAGCGTTGTGGTTGCGGTATTGCATTTATTTCATAACAGGCAAAAGAAGTGAATGTCAACGTATTCAATAAACTAAGGAAAAAATGTCATAAAAAGTTAAGATCGATGACAAAACTTAAAGACTACATTAAAAAAACCGAACGTAAAAATCAACGTTTCACGCTTTACTAAGCTTTGCTAAGTTAGAATTATTTTATGCCAGGTAGCGAAGCCAGCCTTATTTTATGCCAGCCTTTGTGCTTACTCTACTTAGTCACGATAAACCACAGATAACATCTACATTTACACGTTCGTTACACAATAAAAACGAAAGCGCCGCGTATCTCTAAATCCTGTCTGATACAATACACACAGCAGCTCTGCATGAGATTATATTTTGAAACAATACTTGTATCCAGACGAGACCCAGTTACGTCAATCAAAAAATGGCTTGCGGGTATCTCGTCTATGGACGACCTTCTAGATGTTACTGGCATTGTAAAGATATTAGTACTAATAGTAGCAAATGTAGTAGCAATGGTTTGTGACTATTGGAATATATATTGTAAGGTTACTCACTTATTTTGTATTGGAAACTTTATTCTTTACATGCAAGTTAATGTTCTATTTAGATTTAAAAAAAATACTTGTTGCTGCTGTTAGAGCAGCAACAAACAATATTTTATTATTTTAACAACAACGGAACGCTGGGGATGCCGGTGCACGTCCCGTCCATATAGTATATGACTAACACAGAAGCTGTTTCTAATGTTTGTGTTTTTAACAAAACAAACAAAGAGTAAGATATTTTGACATGACAGAGGAGGATAGACAATCCCGTGTTTGTCAGAGGTTAAGTAATGCTTATGATATCAAATTAATATTAAAGATATTTAGTTAACGGCGTTCCGAAGTTTATAAGCTGTTGGTTATTATCCATTGAACCAAAAAATCATGAATACGTAAAGTAAATTATATCAACAAAAATTGTTAGGTTTTTTAATATGTATACAATAGTGGTTACTTAGCAACGATTTACTGTTACCAATTTACGAAACATAAATTACTGGCCGCATTAATGCAGTGTAGTTGAGATAACAGTAAATAAATTAATTACCAGATCCTATGGATGACCTCGAGTTTAATCTTTGGAAACAAGTGAAAAGGGCGGGTGCAGCTAAGTGACGAAAGGTACTTGCGTAAAGTACAAGGTGTTTAGAGGTCTTTTAATTACAACATTGCGGTGGAGATTTCAAGATACGTACTTAATACAAGAGCAAGAGTAACATTTAATGGATAACCTTCAATTTAGAACATATGAGGCTGCAAGAGGTAGAGTGGCCTATTAACAAAAACCTGATTTTCAATAGAGGAAAATAAAAATGCGCAACTAACTTAGGCGAAAATAATTTGTACGACTATTTGTGTAAGAATTATGTTAACAATTTTCGGTCACTGTAGATGAAAGTTTCAGCTATGCTATCTGTCTCTAGCGGCCTAATAAATTCTTCATCTAATAAAGGTTATTTAACTTCTAAAAGCTTTTTGTAATTTTTATATTTTCACCTAACAATAAACAGCCCTTGTACGTTTACGTTACTTACTCAAAAATTGCTCTATATTAGTTGCTACCTGTGCCAGCGACTTCGTCCGCTACGAATATTTATTTTGGGCATCCAAATTCGTTTTTGCAAACTTAAGACGTTAGCTACGATGTCTGTCGCGTCCCTGAAGTCGTTTTTGCAAGTTAATCTTAAAAGATAGACATATAATGTGTTTAATCACGTTTCGGTTTTTTCATCTGTGGACGGTGGTTCGTGACCAGGACGGAATTTCGATATTCCTACCATCCATATTACATCTAGATTTCTAGACGGAGTTTAACATGTTTCACAAAAATTATAGGCTGATTAGAAAAATGTTGGACCCGATAGGATCAAACCCACGACCCGTTGATTTTTAGCCGCCGACGAACCCGTCAAAAAGGCTCCTAATTTGAATAATAACCACTTATTAGTAATTCAATCGATTTCAATTACACTAATAGGTTCTGTCATTGTAAATTGAACTTGTGAATTTCCGCAACGTGATAAAGCCATGGTCAAGACTTAAAAGATTCTTCGAAGAAACAAAAGCACGGATCTGTATCGAAGATCAACCTTGGAGTCAGTTTACGAATTAATCAAAATGTTATAAGAGTTGTGTTAGTTAAGGTCCGGTTGGGAAATAATTGTTATTTCTATGAACCTTAGTCGATTTTGCACAAACAAAAGTACACGAATACACAAACTCGGTCTAAGCGATTAAAAATATGTTACGAGATGCATCTTGGACTGTGAAAACTTTACGGGTACCAATAATATTTTTTTTGAAATTCGAATTCTTTTCTTCGAATTTGTTAAAAATGAACCACTTATAGGAGCAGTTGAAGTAATTTTAAGATATTTTTAAGCCTTTGGATTGTAAAAATCTATCTAAAAAACTACTAATGTTATTTAAAACTTTATGTTAATGTAATAAAATTATTAGCTGCGGAATATAAAAATGCATAAATAACAGAGGCGAGATTATAATATTTTTTGTGTTAGAATGTAAAAAAAATTTCGGTCACTGTTCTTAGATTAAGATTTTTTTACTATAAAAATATAAATAAGTCAAGTCATAAAATTGCAGTTACACGCCTCTGTCTCTAGCGGCCTCATATAATACACTAGCTGTTTCAGCGACTTCGTCCGCTAAGAATATCTATTTTGGGTATCCAAATTCGTTTTTGCAAACCCCTTCATCTTTATAAACTTAAGCTGTTACTCACGACGTCAGTCGCGTGCCTTCCCGTCGTTCTTGCAAGTTCATCTTAAAATATAAACATATAGCGTCGCGAAGCTTTTTTTAGATCATTTAAGTCATTTCCAAAAATAATCATTTTCCCAATTTTTTCCCATTTTTCGCTGTGTCTTCTTGTATTAGTACAACAGTTACAGGGCAATGTTTTTTAGCCTTCCTCGATAAATGGTCTAATCAACACAAAAATATTTTTTAATGTCGAACTTGTAGTTCCTGAGATTAGCGCGTTCAAACAAACAAACGATCTCTTCAGCTCTACATATTAGTATAAATTTATAGGATTATATATTCCATTTACTAATAGAGTACATATTCATCTATTTAAGTCAGTCTATAAAGGTCATTGTAATGTACAGTAGCGGGTACTTACGTTCGCGCCAAGCTGATAGAAATGTCAAGAATAAGTTCGCCCACGCTCGCGAAATCTTCAGCATGCCAGTCTCCTTTCGGTTGAGACACCACTGCAAATAAATCATTTAAATATTAAATCTAACAATTGTGCCTATGTTGTTTGGCAAATATTCAATAAGAATATTTGATCGCAATGGTCAATCCATTGTTATTTTGCACACAAGATACAGAAGAAATCTCTAATAAATAGCGGTGAACAATGCGCGCCAGTTATAACCCTGTACTTTATGGCCGATCGTATTACACTATTTACATAAAACCATTGTGTTTTTAATATAGCCAAATATAAAGACAAAAAAAAAAAACGATGGCTTTACTTCTTGGGTTAACATAATTCTCTTGTTTGCGATATGACATTAAATATATGAGGACCAGATATTAAAGTCTATTTAGTGATTTTAGTCGTTTAACATTATTAGTAATCAAACGAGACTAAGGGATAAAGTTTATTTGATTTATTATTAAGATTTATTTTTACCGAGTATGACCTTAATGTGACAGAAAAATTAATTGTTTAAAAAGTTCAAAATGGTAAATCCCTTTAGGTTATCAGCTCGATAAGAATATGCAAATATGAAACATAGGTAATTATGAATGAATGTTACCAGGTCACAATTACTCTGTAAAATGGCCCAAATTATCGTGCACCTTTTTATGACATTCTACCGGTCAACCCAAAAAGCAAGTATAGCACTTAGACTTTGCGTAACTAAACATGAATGTTTAATACCTTTTTGAAATAAATTACATTGTAATTGGTGCCATAATATCCTTAATATTATTGAGCAACAGAACGTACGCCATATTGCAAATGATTAAGAGGAATGCAAATAAAAATACCACAGAGAATAGCGTTGAATTTCGCGCGCTTTCCATGTTTTACCGGCTAGTTTTGTTTCTCGAAGCATATATTATAAACTTTTATTTAACTAATTATTTAAAAGCAGATGAAAATACTGGATGGCTAGTTGGATTTATAATCTGTTAACAGGATATTTGGCGCCATTTTAAGATTGTATTCAATTTATAAGGTAATCGTGTCATTTTTACTTACATATCCTTGATCTGGCGTCGAGATAGGCTTGGTTAATAGCCTCGTAGGTGATGCAAGTGTGTTGGCCATCATACGCACTGTGGAAAAAAAATAACAATAATTTTAATTTTTAAATATATTTATAACGTAAATTTTTACTTTTAAATTAAAAAAGTAAAGTGGATGAAAGCTTTATAAATGTTTAGGTAACAATATGCTGTCGTTCTACTTTCTCATAGTCTATAAGTAGCACGAAGATTATCATAAAAATTCGATTAAATTCCCACAAGCTCACACAACAATGGCTGACACTGACTACTCTAAAGCGGACCATGTGGAGATAAATAATAAATTGAGGAAATATTATTATTTACCGTTTAAATTTTTTTATGATGATAATCTAGTATATATTTATGTATAAATCACCAATTTTTTTGACAAGTGAAGTTCAGAATATAAAATCATAATAATTTACATACCTACTACTAAACGTGACAGACTATAAAAATAATAATAGATTAAAGAATTAAAAACCGTATCCTGCTGCAGCAGGAACACCATACGGTCGTGGGTTTGAGTCTCTTTCTTGTTATATGTTTCCAATGTAACATAATATATAAATTCTCAACCATTATTACATACACAGACAAACAAAACTCAAAAAGATAATTCTAAGCTTAAAAAAGGTATTAAGTAATTAGTTGACTGATACTGGCTTCACTATATTAGGTATAAATGACGTAGAAGTTTGAATACTAAGAAATATGCAAGTCTACGCATATTGCAGACGAGTAGAATGTCAATCTTAGCTGTCTAGACTCTAGACTATTACGTAAGCCTCAATATAGAATTGCTCATTAATCATGTTTTATTCACTAGACATTATGTCATTGTTTAAGTAAATGCAGTAGACATTTTTTTTTTTTTTTGGTTTTTAAATTGACGTACATAAAAACACAAAATATTGTCAATATTCAGCATTTATAATGATTTATACAAAATTTTTATTGATTGTTGAAAATTTTAATGGTAACTTTTTTTCTAAAAAGAAGGTATTTATAGGTTTATTATAGGATGTGGTAACATTAACAAATTTAAGTGATAGAATAACAAGTTAAAAATATAATATCCAAACTTGATTACACGTGTCTAAAACATATAAGAGGATAGACGAAGACCAATGAACTATTACATAAATAAGGAAACATAAAACACCATCTTACGCTGCCCTGTACCGTGTTAAAATTTTGTTTACTTAACTTTTTTTAAGCAAACAGAAAACGCACTGTTTGAATACATTATAATTATTGCAGCAGCCGTCAGTGGTCTCCCCGTGACATGGCTGCTACAAAGCATCCGAAACGTCGGGCCGTAATTTTCAAATAAGTTTAACCAATATAATCGCGTTTTAATCCGTTAAAGTAATTTATTTAAATCGTGTACTACTCGCGTAAAATACAGACAGTATTTATATTGTAATTCGTTTTTCCCGCAAGTAAAAATCAAGTACGGTGGAAAACTAGAAATGTATATAAACCTTTGCCTCTTTATTAATGGATTCAATCAGGACCGGTCGCATAGAAAGCGTGCGCAAGCACATATCCATTCGCTTCCTAATAGATAACATTTGACTCGTTTCCGTTATCTCGTTGGTTTCTCGAACGGTATCGGTCTAATGTATTTGTGAATCGTGGGCAAACTGCTTGAGGAGGTCAGGCCGTTACACAGCCTCGCTATTGACGACTGCATTTGTTAAACAATTGACGAACTACTGAACAATAGTGTGCCGCAGTTGATTGAACTCTGGATAAATAATAATTTGCAATATTACAATTGCATGGCGTTACTATGTTAAGATTAAGACGTCATAGGTCTTTGAAATAATGTAGTTTACACTACAACTACTATACAAACGTTTTAATGTTCGAAAAATCGTAAGACGTTTAAATCTAAAATATATAAGAGAAAAAAATGTCAATAAATTATTATTTATATATGGTGTAGGTATTTCTAATTAATTTTTTACTATTCGATTTTCTATACATTGTGCTAGACACGGTTTATCAATTTGTGAATGGATATTGACTGAGAATCTATATATAATGGTACAAACCACTGTAATAATAATTTATACATATGACTGCCTATATAATTAAAACTGTGACCTACCTATTGCCTTTCAAATAAACGTTTCTAAGACCGGCAACAATAACACGCCCTTTACATTAGACAGTATTTCCGGATGATCCTTTTACTTGCATTCACACGGAACCGGTCATCTCGAGGCGAGTAAGCGAAAGGATTTTGAAAGTGAACGTCGCATGCTCGACTTGTTGCCTAATGTAATGTACAAGTGTCCGATGAAAGCCTTGCTGATGAGCCAGGGTTATTACCACACCTATCGAGCTGCATAACTTTACGTAATTCTTATGTATACACTGTAATGTACTTCTCAATTATACTTATAACGCTTTAATTTCAATTCCAAATTTGAATATCGAATTTAAATTACAGTTTCGATTTTTGTAATTCGAATTGTAAATTATCGGAATTTAAAAAAATAACACTTAAATATCCAATAATCAAGTGTTTTCACTATACTGTTTATGCTATCGTTACCAATTGAGATAACTTTGGTACATAAATGAAAAAAAATGATGGAATGAATTATATAATATGTGTATTATTATTTATGATTATATGTTTCATAAAGATGTTACGCGATATTATATAACTACTTATCAATTACCATCTATAAAATTAGTTCAGTAAAAAATAGTAATTATTTGAGTATTACTTTATTCAACATGCATAACAGAATCATAGTACAAAAACATCTTTTGAAAGAAAAGCTTTCATTTTTAATAAAACACTTTTAATGGTTTAAAACGCGAAATATATTACTCAAATTTATTTGCAAATTATTATTATAAACTATAGCCCGACGTTTCGGATGCTTTGCCGTAGCCTTGGTAACAGGTATTGAGTCTCATTTACTTACATTTTGTGGTTTAAACCGTTAAAAGTGTTTTGTTTAGATGTGTACTACTGGCGCTTACAGACAGGATTTAGAAAAGCTTAAAAAATATACGCACCTATTAAAAACCAGTTTTCCTTCGTAGAAAAGTGGATTATCTTATGAATACTTACAAGTTTCCTTTCAACAGATTTAGGCTATAGTCATAGGCCGATGAACGTCCAGGTCCTGTGAGGTACAGAGCGCAGTCGTCATCTCCAGGAGCCGCCAAGGGCGCTAATGGCGTCAGTGACGTCACTAACGTACTATATAGCGCTATCAGCAGCGCTCTGAAAAAGAAAATAAATGTTGTATATGATACTAGCTACGTCAGTGTAGAATATTTATTTTACTAGACGTAGAATTTTCAACCGTAATGTCAGTGTAAATTAAAAAAAATAGAAAAGTGATTTACAAAATCCTTTTATTGTAAACATTCACTTAGAAGAAATATTCAACATTACGCACAACGTCTTCCTTTAATATGACTGTGTACTTACTAATACGTACAAAAATTTTAAAATACCGCAAATCACTTTACTAAATGTTAGATTAATTTTACGATACGTTTAAGTAAAACTTGTAGTTAGGTGTTTTAATTAATATTGATACAAGATGTATTGCATTCATTGCCTTACTAGTTAATGGTTTTAATACCTGTGGTTAACATTGAAATAAGATAGAAAACTTATCTAAATGTGTGTTAAATGAAACGAAAAGTCTCATCAAATGAATTTTCTTAAAAATATATAATATATATGTGGTATTATTTAGGAAAAACACTACGTCTGTTATTAAAAAAGGATTTATTTTATTCATTACGAAATACCTATAATAAGTCAGTGTGGTGGCAATTTATCACGTCCATTTTAGGACTATTTCGACAGCTAGAAAACATAAATTAAACTCGGATCTATTTAATCTTAATAGAACCACCTGTGTGTTAGTTAGTTATAAAACTTATTTACGCCACATATTATCTATACCTTGGCAATCATTACAATTTATAACATATGGTCATTACAAACCTACGCAACACAACGCAACAGTGTTAAGATAATTTACGATGTATTAAAATATATAGAGATATCGTGAATGAATAGAGAATAAACAAAGCCATTACTAAACAAAACAATTAAGATAAGCCGCCAGAACACGCAAGGAGGTTGTACAACATAATACGATGTGCACGTTATGTAAAAAAGTGTATTCTTGTCTACGCTTGTCCTAGTAGCCTTAAGACGTTGTGAGAAATGGCATGTCAACTGTTAGCATCAACTTCCGTTTACTTGTCATGAGTATAGACACTTTTTGATTTTCCTAATAATATACAAAGAGATTGGGTCTTAAATACATATAATTTAGCGCTTTTTACGGCCGTGCATTACGGTCTAGTAATTTGCAATGTTTAATTAAAAGCTCATTAAATATCAATGTTAATGGCGATTGTATGTTATTAAATTTCTTATTGTTTAATTATTATAAAGGTTGAATAACTTTGTTCATTAGTTGTGGAATTATATAATTATTCATTTGGAGTAAGTAATGAGGATTCTTACAGCAAGAGACTGTAAGAGATTATAAGAGCAGTGAACCTGAAGAAAGAAGTATAACCTTAGTATAGTATTTTTAGGACAGTTAACGATTAGTTTCAACCTACTCATCCTGCTGGGGTCCAGGTTTCCTCTCGGATTTAAGAGCTCAGATTCACCACACACCTAACCTTGCGATGACGGAGGAGGCACGTGACACCTCATATTACCAAACTCTTGGATTGTATCAAAAAAATCAAAATATTTAAGTAACACGTTCGACACAAGATTCGAATTAAAGACGTCGTGATCTTTAATCGTGGGCGTTAACCACTAGATCAAAGAGGTTGTAATTCATTGATTATAGTTATATTAAGTACAATGACGAAATGAGTAAAACATACATCTTAAAGAGTCCTCTCCATACTGCTAAGGTCGAATTAAAAATGTAAGATCGTTTAAACGCAGACGACATACCAAAAAACGTCATACTATGCGCTGCGGCGTCAAAGAGAAAAACCGCATGCCTAGCATAGTAAAAGTGACGCGCCCTTCGTACGTAAATACGTAAAAGTTTTTGCGCGCACTGACTCGAGCTAAATATTCAAAATTACTTGATTTCAGGTTAACAGTCCTAGTGTTGCCATATTGTAACATACTAACCTTAAAATTATACCTTGAAAGCGGTAGTTTTTTTTGTGCGAATTAATTGCACATTTTGAATCAGTCGTAATTGTCCGAAATAATTTCAATTATGAATTATTATAGCAATTAAAATGTTTAAATATTATAGTCAATTTTTGTAACCTGTTACGTTAAATTACTGTTATTTAATTATTATACTCGATAATGTCACAGAAGACACCATTTTTTATTACATGCTTAGCTTTATAATTATACATTTTAAAAAGTACGATAATAAATTACGTCTAGTCGAATGATTGTAATGTTTTTAATTGATATTATTATTTGTTCACACTTCGTAGGCACTACTTAGGAAATCCGAGTATCCAAAGCTAAAAAAGGTCGATACCGCACTTACTTGTTACTTAAATTTCATGGCTGGGATATTTCTTGTCTGTTCTCTTTTATCATTTGAAAAAAATCAACGTAGAAAATTAATTTACATAAAGTCTTCATGATATCGATTTATTGAGCAACCGTTATTCAAATTTAGAACTCCACTAAAACGACCAAAGCTAGTAGTTAAGACGATATTATAATCGCTGTTGTAAAATCTATGATGCTATGTGATATCCAATCATTGTAAGCTAATTCGCGCCATAAATTCAATTTATGTCAAAATTTTATGGCCTTCTGAGTCATAACCTAAATACACAAGTAAACATTCGTTTAACGGTAATAGGTAGCCACTATGAATGTGATTATGCACCAATTCTGGTTTCGTTTCCTCTCTATTTTAGCTATCGGCGTTTATTTGCGGTGTATTGGGCAACATTTGACGCGGTTTGGTTAAACTTGTGTCAGCTGATACATGTTTGTTTAGTTATAGTTACCGCCCGTTACTTAGATCGTATTGCCTATGGCCTAATTTAATTAAAAATTTGCCTGAAATTTATTTTTATACGTATAGTTAAGTTATAAATAGTGTTAAATGTTAGTTAGTAGTGGCAATGATATTTCTTAATCTATTAAAATTTATAGTAATTCTTTTTTATCTAGTACTACTATAATACAGTAGAATTTAATTTTTTTTAACAATTTGCAAGATAAAAATATATTATATAATTACATTTTATAATCACTTTTTTGTTTATAAATCTTAACGTAATTCATTATTAATTCTGCAAGTTTCAAAATAGAACTAATTGTACCTGCTTGTGAACATTAGACTATATAATTTGAATATCAAAAATTAAATTGCAAAAATCGACTCGGGCAGGACTTGAACCGGCATCGTCAGCCTTCCCGCCTGATGCTTGTTGTCGATTTTTTTCAACTTATTGATACAAGCACTCGCGCAATTTAATTTATATTTTCAAATTATGAATTTTAAATAATATATTGTTCTATGTAATCGCTAAAATCTTAAAGAGTGTTAAATAATTAATCACTTGTTAAACCGGACGAGACTAAATTACCCGTAACGCTACGAATGTAGACGCTTCGTAGATGCTACGCATCATATAAACGACTTCAACGATATACATTATGCATTATTTTTATCAATATGCAGCAAATGTATTAAGAAAACCGTTCTACGCTTAGCGTATTAGTACGTTATTTTTATTGCTTCAAATTTGAATTTAGAATGTTACCCATAATCCCATTCTTTTCTTTTTTACCCTAAAGTGTTTAAAATTGCATTGTTCTAGTGTCAACTGTTTCTCTCATGCTTAAAAAGTAACAATTACCTTGAAATCATCATAAGATTCACAAAACACAATCGTTATCACAAGAGCACAATTACAATACACAATGTAAACACGAAATGAGGGCAGTTCTTTTCATTATTTGAAGAAAGGCGTGCTTCCGATGCAGCGCCGGTGATAGCACTGTGTTAGGAGGCTGTGGCGCGGGCCACGAAGCCTCCACGAAAGTCAGAGGCACGTGATCTACCCCAACCATTCCATTTTCAAAGTTAACGCTTAGCCGGAAATAGAGCTAGACGTAGTATTTAATTGAGTGGATCCAACGTACTTTCACGCGATTCGCTCGCAAATCAAGGTTCTTGTTTCGCAAGAGGTATTTTTAATTGAATGTATAAACTCTATAATCTGCTTAGTTAGGTGTAATCTGTATAAAATCGGAAGAAAATCTGTATACAATACAATCCCTATTTTTATAACTAAGTCAAGCTTACATATGTCGAATGACAAACTATGAAAAGAAGTAAAAACGGTTTTCGTATTAGTTAAGTAAAAAAAATATCCATTTGATTTTAGGTCATGGAGGTCTTTCTGTATGCAGCATTGTTGTAAAGCATCCAAATCGCCAAGTCGAAATTCAAAATAAATTAATTAGTATTTTGTTTGTTATATTTATCCTAGGGAAACATAAAATTGTTTCAGTTGGGCAGGGCACGCAAGTCTGATCAACTACTTGCCCGTTAAAATAAGAGACCAGTGAAACGGACACAGAAATGTGTTCGCCCCCATGCCCCATGAGGGGGAAACGGGCTTGCACACTTTTTGTTAGATTTAACATAACTATTGCTTTCTTTACTAAATTTATCAATAAAACAAAATATTATGTCAAACACTATAAATAATGGTATATTATAATACATATAATTAATAGAATTATTAAAATAAATTATGTAAGGCTTTCACTTCACAGCGATCGTTCAGGTTATCATTGTTTTTCGAGCTCTTCTGCGGACGTGAGCGAGAAGAGATTCTCGACGTTTCGCCATCACCGGCATCATCGGGAGATATTAGCTCCTCGATTGCTAGAAGAGTTAATTCTTCTATTTTATGTTGAGAACCTTTTCTCGTTGATGTCATCCGAACAGCCGAAAAACAATGATAATCAATATTTAAAGAGTCAATAAATTTTCCAAAAATAAAAAATCACCATAGTTTAAGATAAATGGATGTCGAATCGAGCCAAATAGTTTCATCAGATCTTATCAATAGATCGATTGAAGTATCGTGAACCATGACGCGTTGACATCACAATTGATTATGCGAGCGAGTCAAACAATTTGTCGCACGGCTTAGAAACAAATTGTGCAAACATTAATCCAGATTTTAGTCGAGCGATGCAACACTGATTTTTGGCAACCGACGTGATGCGATTTGCAATTCATTATAATGAAATCAAAGACGCTAACGGTTCGTGGACTATCCCAACTAATACATACATTGGTGGCCATGGCAGCTGCAATACCGAATCGTCGTTTCGTCGTGTGATAATCACGAATACTGTTTTAGACAGACTTAGACTAGAGACAATAGATTGTTGAATGAAATTACTTAGATCATTTAGTTTTAATTTGCCTAGTGAGTATTTGTAATATATCTTTTGAATACAGAAAGTTTTTATAATGATTTTAAACCACTTAGACTTGTAGTACAACAGAAAAGAAGTTAGTACACTGGTAACTAATAAATTGTATAGAATGACTTAGATAATTTTGAATACGACTAGCGAGTATTTGTTATCTTTTTAATAACGGAGTTCTTATTTTTAAATCTTTTACACTTCCGAAGACCAAACATATATTTTTCAAGATAATCAGAAAGGATATTTGATTCATAAAAATCTGCCAAGAATGTATTACATAATATGTGTGTTGTACATTAAGAAGTAAAAATAGTTTATTTATTAAATTTTTTACAGTATTACTAATATAATTATTAATTAGGTTAAAAGTCGGTTCCAAAACAACCATCAATTCATATAAAGCAATAAACTAATAAATAAAACTTTTTCTCCACGTATGATGTAATAAGAGCTGGGCGAAAACAAATTATTTAGCATTTTAATGCATTCTTATTAATATTAAATCGGTGTGTGGAATATTTTTGTATTATGCATAGCTTACTTTCACAAAGACCTTTGTTGATCACGTTGCTTTAATTGACTTATTCACGTGTTGTTATATTGTATAGATTATCTCATGATAGATTGTATGTTTTATGTTATTTTCTTTTTATGTTATTTCTGTCTATAGTCAAAAATGATTAGTTACGAATACATATTTTAAAGTCACTTATTTTCCTATGGGAAGCAATACATATTGTCTTCGAAATGATGATGGCCTTCGTAGTTACAAATAGTCTATTCAATGTAATCGGTTTTTTTTATTAGCCTTTTTCTTCTATTTGTCTTCTACATTAACACAATTAAATTCTTTCTATTGACTAAAGTAAATAATTATAATTAAAGAAATAAAGGAAGTGGTTACTATACATTTTTGCAACAGCAAAATAGAAAGGTCCGTCTATACTTTTTGCATAAAAATTGTATAATATAAAATGACATAATATTAAAATGAACTGCTATCGTAGACCTGTCAATTACATCAAAATTAAGTATCGCAGAAATAAATAACGCAAGAATTCGGAAGAGATAGCAATTAAACGTTGAAATTATATCAATTTCAATTTTGAATTGGGCACAATTACTTTGATGTATTACGTATTTGATAATTTACCTACAATTAAGAGAATTCAACAATTTACGAAACAGCCAGCATTATAATATATATAAATACCAACGAGTTTGCTCTGTCAGTGTTATATAAAGCTCTACACATCTGTATCGTCTATGATTGATTAACAGAACAACGCACAACCGTCCCACCATTTGTATCCCCCCAAGGACATAAGAATCAGTTCCTTTGGAATAAAGATTTGCATATATATTGAAATGATGAAATTAGAAATATCGATGCACTTATGGCATATTTCATCTAATTGGCGTGCAATAAAATTTAACAATACATACTTTAAAATAAAAATACCACAGATAACGCGAAGTTGACAACCTGCCACAGATGATAAATAAAAAGTAAATGTACTTTTCCCGCTAATTAAACACTATCAATGTTTTGTATCTGTTTTGTGGATATATTAACAGTACAGTTTCATTACGGTTCTCTCTGTGTAGAAAACAAATTAACGCGCATAAGCAATGAGCATAATGGACAATGATTATACAAAAAATACATTCTCTGCTCTACATGTGACCCTTTTTAGGCTAACAAATACGTTTTTATTTTTGGTGTAAGCTCAGTACTATACGCTAAGTGAGCATTTAAGAGGTTCAAGTTGTATGTAATTGTTTTTAATCGTTCAGAACTTATGCTTTGCGTAAAAGTAGGTCAAAGAACACATGTTTAATATCGAAAGCTCGGCGTAGGTTTGCTCGCAGACTTGTTAGTAGTACTTATTGAATTATTGGTAACATTGCTACTCGCTATGAAGCAAATACCAATATGTGTTTAAGAACGCGACAACGTTTTTTGCAAATACATATTTTATTACTTCTATTGGCAAGGAGAAGAAATAGAGAAAATTACATTTTACGTTAAATTTTGTCCCAAAATAAATTCCTTAGTATAAACTTTAGGACTTGACATATAAGTAGCAAAAATACAATCATACACTGATCTTATTCTCGACAACGTCAATTGCGAAGATTCTTTTAAAAAGTGATTAAATTTTTTTAGTTTCGAACTGGAATCGAACTTATTTACATTGAACGCAACTAGGCCACCTAGAGTATTACAAAACACTACACAGAACTAATTAAAAAAACCATGTTCAAACATAAAACAATTACGTAACCAAGTTTAAGTAACAGTTAAGCATACCAAGGAGGATTTATTACAAGAGATTATGTGCTAGATCACGATTTTATCATTGCAGGCGCAGAGATTACACTGCAATATAAATAATTGCGCGTTTGAAATCTTGCGAACGGAGTTTACAGGCCGGCAAATTTAAAAAAAAAGCAGAATTTGAATATGTGTAAATCTAAGCAGAAATGTTACTTTAAACGAGTAAAAATCATAATATCGCGTAAATAAATTTAATGACAACAGTTATGTTTTACTACCAGAAGATGTTCTAATTGGATTTTTTTAAATTATACTAAATCAAAAAAGAAATATATTTTTTAATATTTATCTCATATATTGTTTCTCTCAAAAAAAATCTCAAAATATTATAGCACATAATTGCATTATATAAATTTAAAATCGATTTTAGATCCTGCCCTTGTCGTATATTCTTTTCAATCTAAAATCGATCGAAATAATTAAATCTTAAATCTTTATATTTTAAATACACAGTAATGATATGTTTCTCCTTAAAAGAATGTTAATAATTTATTATACAACATACAATTCTATTTTATATAAATATTTTAAACAGATTTTTATATAAACCATAAACGAAAGAATTAGGCCAAGTTATAACTGTTATAATCTGGAAGAAATTGATATAATAACGTATGTACGTGAAAGCGTTTTGCGCACGACAAGTGTAAGGAAATAATCAAAAAGTGATTCTTGCATTAGAGGGCGCTATATAATACTGATATTATAAAAAAAATACTTGGACCTTTTGGATTTTCAATAATGTATTAAAAAGTGGACGTAACAAAAATCCTCGATATAAACTATGGTATGAAATCAATCTATACTAATATAATAAAGCTGAAGTGTTTGTTTAAACGCGCTTGATGCGCGGAATCGTTTAGTGTTTGTGCGAGCATGTGTCAAGGAAGACTTTAGGCTACGAATATCAAACTGCGACTAGTAGGACCGTAAAAAAAAGGGTAACATTTTTCATCTATAAGGGTTCTTTGCATCCGCTGCTAAAACGGTTAGAGAAACCAAAAATAATGTATTCAAGAATTGTTCTTCTTGAAATTGCCACGAAATTGTCTTCAGTTTACGATTAATATGCAAGA